AGGTGGCAGCGGTGAGCGTGGCAAAGGATTCGATGGTGAATTCAATGTCAACTTCTTTATCGTTTCCATAGTCATCGCCACCCTCCGCGAAAGTTTGTCCGGGTCCTTTCTTCAACTCTACTCTATTTTCGGAGCGAGTGAGCAAATGATGATGTAAACTTGGTTGACGTTTTGTCGTTCTATGATTACTCAATCTTACCGCCGTGCGCACATTGAGCGGATTTCTCCCGTTTGCTTTCAAAAGATTCATCGCTGTGCCTTTCATCGAGGTGGTCCTGAAGTGAGTCGAGCTGACGGCAGCCGCTTCGTCAACGATCGTGAAGTCGGTAGCCGCCAGCGTTATGGATGGCTGTGAGAGATCTTTCAGCTCGGTGTCTAAAAAGCTTGTCATGTCGAAGTGGCGAATCGATAAACGCGAGCTTCCAAGACAGTCGCTGTCACGCGCGACCAGGAGCGAATCCGGCTAGCCGGTCTCAGACGAAGTCGGCCGGGGACTCCGGATGGAATCGGGACCTTGGGGAGCTTAAGTCTCCTGATCTATGCTGCGTACCGTTGTGAAAAGCACGGAGCTCTACAGTTCCCTCCATTCGCGGCTCCCCATCGATAAGATCGGAAGACCTGCAGTTTATCGAGTGTTGAATCATCGGATCACCGTAACGAGCTATATCATCAAATTGATCACGCGCGAGTTTTAATGCGGACGACGGATATCTCAAGAATCCCATCGATCCGACATTCCCCGGCGAGCCCGCGAAGAATATCGATCTGAAGAGGGGGAATGGCAATGGTCGTTCGGCATTTGAGGCATGGAGACAGTCACCACGACCGTCGTAGAACGACGGGGGACGATACAGCTGCTGATTGCGAAAACTATCATTGATGATACCTATTTATTTTGTACAGATTTCATTTCTATTTTCATAGACGTACGACGACGGCGCGTGTCGACTGACCGGTCCAGCAGATCACACCGCGGAAGCCGAAGTCCGATAGCCTGCCATGTATGCAGCATACGACCTGAAACATTGAGAAGAAACGTCGCGTGGCGAACGGAGCGCACCGTCGTCGTGATCATGTGCCAATTCTAAAGGAATATTAGAAATACAAGTTAGCCTAATAAAGTGTATCAGCAAAATTACTGACCCGTTTTTTCTTCTCTTCCTCTTTTTGGCAGCGATTGTGTCCGACGAGGCGAGTCTTTTCTGCTCTTGTTCTACGGGCTTCTCGGGGAACTAAAATCTTCGGGTTGTTCTTTCTTCTCAGAAGAGTGGTGACAACGGACAAAGATATCGTCTCTCCTCAGCGATTTGCTAGCCTGTTTTCTTCTCTGGCTTTCTCCTAAGTCGCAGCCAATCTAGTGACAGAAGCCGACTCCATCGAGCTCAGTGAAGGCTAACTGAAGAGCAAATTCTTAACTGATTCGGATCATTGCTCCAAGTGTGCTCGCTCATGTTTCCTGGCGATGATTCAGTTCCGCCACTCGGAGGGAACTGAGGGTTTCTTTTTCTGTCGCTCCAGTCGGAACGATTCGTGTCAGAATTTTGTGGATGGCGACCGTACCTCTTCGAAGCCGCCATTCTCACGATATTGAGGATCGATATATCGTAGACTGATCCGCTTGAATGCTAAATATCGTACCACGCCGCAATCCCGGTATTATGCAGGAGGTTATGCTGTTAACCACCCTGATTTTCTAGCTTCGCATGATATGAGGGAGATCGTCCCTTTCTTTAGCCGAGGAGCCTCCGCTTTTCCCTTCTATAATTTGTTCCTTACCCGTTCTTGGATTTGATCTGCGCTGATTTCCATCGGAATCAGACGGGTTAGCAGCCGTTGTTTTCGCTGCTGTGGGAGCTAGCATGGGAAATGCTTCCAGAAAAGCTGCTGAATTAGTGAGCCTGCGAAACCGTGACCGAGTTAAGAGCCCTGTTTTCTGATAGATGGAGCACCTTCATCAGCTTCAGAACTGGCAGTCGGCTGAGATATTCCTCCCGCTTCATTTTCCACTTTATCGCCAGCTTTTCACCGGACTGAGTTCATTTGCGCCGCCTTCAGCTCTCGCAAGGGGGAGCTTATGTGTACCGACTGAATATTTGAGCTGTCGATTCAATAGTTTGATCTGCCTGGAGTTCGATGTTCGAACCCCTCCGATAAATGAATCGACCTTTCCGTTCAATGTCGAGCGATTGAACCATTGCAGATTCTGATAGGGAATCCCCTTAGCGAACTGTCGAGAACTCACCGTGTGGCTTACCTTACGGTACAGGCTGTTGCGGAATAGTAGGATCATGAAGTCCGTAGAACTGAAAGACTGATCCTGACATTGCGAGACTAACGAATGTACGGCACAGCGCACGTTTCAAATACTTCCCCGAGAAGCGCTAAGAAGTATTGCGAGATAAGACTATGGTCCAGCTTCGTTAAGTCCTGCCGTCCCTCTTTATCTATACGGAGCATCCGAAGACTGATCTTGTGGATTTTTTTCTGACGCAACCGAACACCTATTGTGTTCGACTTTGTTTCGATTCACAAAAACTTATTTTCGACATAGGTAAGCCCGAGAGCGATGCGCGTCCGAACTGTTTCAAGCCTTCCTTCACGGGGTCGTCTTGGTTCAATCCGTGGTTATGGCTTGGATTTTGACATTCATTCTGCATTCCTTCCATGCTATCATGCTTCTTGAGCCGGAATCGGTGCCAAGGTTTCGAGTTTGAGACGTCGTTGCGAGCTTTGCTGCGGGACTTCGACTACAGCATCGCTTGTGATTTTCACATTCAGTTCCACGAATTGAGCATCGGCATCCAAAACACGAAGAAAAATTCTATTCGGGATATTTTCTCCTCTCTTTATCTTGTCATAGTCAAAAAAGTTCCGAACTGAAATCAGAGGGCCCGCAGGATCTGCACGGTGAGCATTCCATTTTATAGCCGGTGATGCAAGTTACATACTTGAGCGCACAAGCATCCGCTATCGAATACTCGTGAATGGTTCTCCCGGCTATTATCGCCGCACCTACGCAGCCAACCAGCCGATTCCGGGCGAAACAGACCGCCGATTATTATTATTGACACCTATGGCGAATCGACTTTCTGAAATTCTTCAGCTTGTCCCCGAAGATCTCCCATGGGCATCTCCGACCGATGTTCCATCCGATGGGATTCTCCCCGACCCCGATATTGAATTGACGTCAATAGATTGAAATTCACAGTGTAGATTTGAGGCATATCCGAGAGCGAAAAGCAATGGATCCTGTCGCTCAGCGTGTGATATTCCTTGGTACAGATGACCATGATAGACCCGGACAGGAGCAAAGACGGTCACCGAATACATACGTCGTCTCCCTAGCGTTGCATTTTCTCGGGGCCTCGGTGGAGAAAGTCCTCAGAGCGTTCAGAAATCTGAACACTTCCATTTTGACGGATTTGCTCGGATTTCGAAATAAGTTAGTCGCTGCGATTCGCAATGTGCAACGGAGTGCCGTTCATTCTTTATGACTCTTTTTCGCCGAGTGAGACGATGTGACAATTCTCTGCCGCCCAGCCGGTAAGCGCTGATCAGATTACGCCCGTTACGAGAGTTTCCAGACTGGGCGGCGTTCAGATGTTGGGAGGTGCTAGAAACTTAGGAGCACTCCGTTTAACCTCGAATGATGGTCCCGAGAAAGTTTCAGGGATTGACCAGTCGATTGGTGGGGTAGATTGTAGATCTGATCGATGATCCGCTGACCAGCAAGTCGACATCTCTCGACCTCTCGACCCGGCATCTCAATCGGAGATCCGCTGTATTCCCATTCCGGCCGTGGAAACGTTCGGCCTGTGGATCGACAATCCTGTGATCCCATAAGTCGGACCACTTTAGGACTCGATTCAATTCCTATGTCCACCCGAGCCCTTCTCGAACGCACAAAGAGAACGCGGGAATCGGCCCTCTGTTCGGATCGGGGCCGTTTTTCGACCGAGATCCTCGGCGATCTCTCCTCGACAGGGAGGAGACCGCCCGAGGACATGCTCTCTTTCTCTCGCGAAAGTAGAAGCCGATGAAGGGCAAGCACGCGTGCGACTCGGAGACATAGTGGACATTTATTGCAAGAGGTTACATTTCGATCCTAGGGCTTGCAACATTCAGCAAGTGTCCCGGGAGACCGGTTCAGGCCTAGCTGCTCCGACGCGGTTCCCGCGGAAAGACTCCAACGAGGTCTTTCAAGGCTTTGACTCGTTCAGCATCGTCCTCCGGAATATACCCGACTTCGTCTCTGGAAATCGGGTCTCCATCTTCTGCATCTTCGTAGGGCTCACCATCGTCTCTCGATGATTCGTCGTCGCCGCCAGGAGAGGGATCATACCTGGATACCCTCCCATCTTCGGGAACTCTGTCACGCTTCAATAATTTGTCAATTACGGTGCTGAGAAGTTCTTTTCTGTCGGAGTTCATCATGCTCGCGAGCTTGTCGGTCGTTTCTCTAGTCAATGAGATTTCATTATCCCCACAGAAGACGAGGAGCTCGAGGAGTGTGTCTGGAAAACGTAACGGGCATCGATGCGGCTGATAATATCATCGCTCATGTTCCGATGAGCAGGATCTTCTGAGCAAGACACTTACCGAAATCCAGGGTCTTGTAGTTGTTCTTTATGAGGGTCGACATGATGCTGCCGTGAGGCACCACCTTCCTGTCCGCCAAGAATTTCATGAATTCTTTCACCGCCTCTGGCGTATCGACTTTCATCGCGAGGACTCCGTAAGTATACATATTGAACTCCAAGCCACTGGAAAAGACAAGAGATGTGAGCCCCGAAGTGTGTGATTCTCGAAGGTTCCATTCCGTCCAAGGCTTTCGGAAATCTCACCTTTCGTAGAGCTTCTCTTCGACGAAGGCCGCGCAGGCGAGTTTTTCCGATATGCATCTGGCCAGCAGTTTATTCCAGAAATAAATATCCATTTTATCCAGAGGAATCTGACCAAGTATATCCAGCAGCTCTTGTTCCTCTTGGATGCATTCTAGCAGAGTTGTGTACGTCTTCGATGAGGGTTCCACCTAGAAAGGGGAACAATAACATGTTCCTTCGCTTATCGTGTGTATCTTAGCCGAAATACTTCATTTTCGGAAGAAAAAGAAGGGAACACGCCGAGCACCCCGAGATTTCAACGAAGCCGCCGACCGGCGTATGGAAATTATTCACCTCAAGATCAGACATCTGTTTCAGCAGCCCTTGAGCTCCACCGACCAGGGCGAGCCTCTGGCTTACACCTTCCGGTAACTTGGAAAAGATGACCAGGCTCCCGTCTAGTTCCCTATCGAGCAGATTATCACCAACTGTGATTTGTCGCACTCGCTGGGACGGACTCGCTTCCCGTGGCTTCGCTTGAATCGACTTATTCAACAATCTGAGGAGCAGAAAAAGACCGAGATAATCGGCGTCGAATCGGAGAATGGCACAGCTTGATCGAATCACTTTGACCTCAGAATCACCTTGAATTGAGTCTTACATGTTCAGAACGTCTACATTATCGCCACAACTGCATTTGCGAACGGCCAGCAAGAAGTAGTCGTATAACTCCACCGACGGCTTCATATCACTCCACAGTATCGCGCGCATGACTCGGACTGCGTGCATGAAACCCATCCACGGGTCGCGGGAACAAGCCATCATCAAATGAATGTAGGTTTCTTCTTTGATTGGTAGACCCTTGGCTAACAGGTCGTCCAGAAGCTGCGGTGTAATCCAGGTCTTTCAGTATGGAATCGCGGAGAATCTCCCGAGGAACCTGTGATGGGTGGGACTGGCGCATCCTGAGATTGTTTGATTCCCCTGCACTGGCAGGGACTCTAACCTTGAAACAAGTCTGGGTGCTTCCGAAACGGGCAAAAGCTTTGATCATCGCACGGTATGTATCCTCATTCGCAGGCCATCCAGCGGGGCCCATCTAAAACAGAAAGTTCGATCGTTCTGGGCGCCGTGAAGCTTCGAGCGATTATCACAACCCTGATCGTCATATCGCCGGGCATCGATGTAGGGGTCGGATAATGCCCGTTCCGAGGTCATGCCTCACCTGTCTGTAGAGACGTCTCACACTTGAGCGTAGGAAGATCGCGTCCTTCTTGCTATCGGCGCAGGTATTGAACAACGACGTCAGCACCTCTGCACTCGGAGTAATTTTCCGTGTTACTATGTCCTGGGGAAAACGGTAACGATTAGAGCCTCTCACCACGAAGTACCGCGTTGAGAGCTTGAGCTCCCTCGAAAAAAGGGTCGTTCGGGAATCCGGAGAGCTTTTCTGAGAAAATGCCGTTCGCGGAGGGACCGGGGGTTCTAACAGTCAAATCAAGGTCGCTGATGTTCTCGACAGGGGAATCCATGACTATTATTCGATTCGCGGGACCAAGAAAGATCAGCCTCTACGATCAGAATGGATTTCGTTTATTTTCCTTAATTCACCACTTCACAGTGAAACCACTCGTTGACTTGGCCACCGCTTTATACTTCGTATGGAGCAGTCTTTCGGCTCTGTCCGCAATCCAGTCCCGATACAATTCGTCCACCGCAGAATCCGAGTCTGGGGAGCGGCCTCCCGACTGCTGACTCTCTTTGAAGAGTTCGACAACGCGGTCGAGTAGCTCTTTTGGGCTCTCCTCGTTTGGCCGGAGCTGTGCGCCTCCATTCAGACACCCAGATGGGCACGCCATCACTTCTATGAAATCATAGTTACAAGTCCCTCGTTTGATCCTCTGTACTATGTTCTGTATGTTCCTAAATCCATTGCAGATGGCAACGCGGAGGAGGACCTGATCCCCTCTGGTAAACATGACCTCAGTGAAGTCCTTGTTCCTGAGAGTCTTGAAGTCACAAAACGGCACTTCTTCTCCGAAGAGCTCCCTCACAGCTGATGTGAAAACATATTCGCCGAAACCGCCAGACCCGCTCCCTTTATGCTGATAACAATGTTCCAGAGCGAACTGTCCCGAGGGACTCTCCTCGGTATCTTCAAGGTCGGTGAAGACGACATTCTGCTTGAGCATCAGCTCTTCTAATTCCACGGGAGTGATGACGCAATCGACGTCTTTGCTTTGAGTGACTTCATTGAAAAAATCGTCCCGTGAAGCTTCGAGTTTCTTGTCGAAGCACGGCATCACGGTCACATGGTACAGCTTATCTGGAGCGATCGATAATTTCGACCCCAAGAAGGTCTTCACGAAGCTTCCCATAACCTGCTGGGGGGACCGTACATGACTTAGGAATGGCAGGATCGCTTCGCCGTGAGTTTTCTCGATGTAACAAACGAATCCGGGACATGCGGAGCTCAACATCGGTAGACGAGATCGATCTTCCTTATATCTTTTCAAGAACTCTCGCTTGGTCTCGATCAGTGTGAAGTTCCTTGCGAATGACGTATCCAGAACTTCCTTCACGCCGAGTTTCTTCAGGAATGAACGCAATCGATAGCCGGCGCTCCGGTAGGAAACATTGTATTTGGCAGCGAATGACGCCCGAGCCTGGGGGGCGATGGAAACTACGATATGACGATCCGCTGATTCCGAAAGAATCCTCAAGAGCTCATCCGTGCTCTGTTGTGTGATGAGGACACTTTCGGCGGATGTGATGCAACCACTGCAAGCGAGGCAGTCATTCAAGGTGATTTGCACTCGTTGAATTTTCGGGGTCTCCAATGTCAGGTCATCTGTATCGTCACCGATTCTGATCGATCCTAAACCTTTTTTCTGTTTTTCGACAGTCACTGGCTTGATGCATTCTTGAGAAGGAGTGATGAAGTCATTCAAGTCTGAGATTTTTAGTGCGGAGCTGAAGCCCGCTGCTGCCATTCTCGGCGCTCGGCTGCTCTGCGCGCTCTCTAACTCTTTCGTTGAGGAATCAGAAGGCGCACGGAGAAGATGAATTGATCCCTCGGCACATAGGGGCTCGTGAATGTTCAAGTTCGATTAGTGAGTTTCGGAAGACTCCAAGAACTGTGTAATGCGTGGAAACTGGAAACCTTTCACGTCGTTCGAAATGATGACTGTGATCTCTGCTTGGAGCACGAGGAGTCTCCAAAACTCGACGGATATATCGAATCTCTTGCCATGAATTCAAGCCCAAGGTAGTCTCCGAGAACAGAATAAGAGTTTACTCACTTTCATCAGCCCGAAAGCCGCATACGAATTCCCAGTTTGGCCTGCAGCTTCTATCAAGTACGAGATCATGTTTGCTTTCGGTGCCTTTATATCGCGAGTATAATACAGCACGGCGTCACCGATCTGCAATCAGAAAGTCTAGCTGCCACAGAACTCAAAATTTTATCCGACTCCGAGAAATCCACCGATCTGGGAGGATTTCAACCGCGCAACCGCTTGTGGAGTGCGGGCACGCGGTCAACTGACGAGATCAGACCAGAGAGGGAACGAATGTCCCGGCGGGCTCCACCTGAATCGAAAGCAAAACCTCGAGAGCGAGTGGAGACACTCACCCTTCCTTGATCAACGAAAAACTTCAACTCTTTCATGTGAATTCTATCATGCTTCCCACTAGGGTCCGGATCGGACGTAGAAGCCGATGACCGGAATGGACGCTGTAGCTGGTGGAGCACCTCGGAATGCCGACTTATCCGCCGGAGCATGGCAGGGTCCTGGATCCGATGTCGATTCTTTCGAGCGGAGGTGTGAGTATTCCGGATCGGGAGCCTTAGCCCGAACTCACTCCGGGATCGAGGTAGGCCGATATTTTACCGGAGGCTTAAGCGCATTCCGAATTCCTCATGTACCACTTGCCGAATATCATCGAGTTTCACGAGCGACTTTGTGTGAGAGTCCTCGCGCGTTCTGTGAAATTCGAGTTTCACCGATGACTCTCTCCAAAATCGAACTTTTTCAATCGCGCAACTCGCGCAACAACACACGTGATTCTGGGTTCTGACTACAAACCCAGACTCCCACCGAAAGCTCTGCGTGTCCGCGAAAGGATAGTTCAATCTTGCCGGCTCGGGATTCACGCCTCCTGTCATCCAATCGGAGCCGCGCGCGGACTGGGGAAAATATTGGGGTGGAGGCTCCCTTAGAGAGTGGGGCAACCGAGGACTGCTTGTTCCGGTATAGTGGCCGAAACCAGAGATTTCACGCGCAGTTGCCGGCTACACCGGGCCGCGGACGCGCGCTTCAGCAATGCCTCGATCGCCCTTGCCTCTCACGATTAGCTTGAAACCTCGATGACGAATCTGGAGCTTGAGCGTTGAAAGTCTTCAGGAGGCCGATCTCTTATGATGTCCCGCGATTTCGAGGAGCGAAAGGCAACAACCGGAGCCTCATACTGGCTCTTTCCGCGGTAGACTCGTCGCGCGGCACCTCAATGAAGTCTCACATCCAGCTCCTTGTACCCAATCCGCTCTCTTGCCGCTGATCATTCCGACCAAGAGAGCCAAGGTATACGGACAATCTCAATGAATCAGAAATTCGATTCCAAGCACTTCATGTGAGAACGAGCGCTCCTGTAGTCACAAACTCCTATCTCAGGTCGGCCGCCTCAGGCTCTCTATCTGAACAAAGCTCAAAATATCTATCGACCCCGATGCATGCATAAACGAGTCCACTCTCCTTCTGAGAGACGTCCCAATTTTTATTGAGGAAAAATCGCGAATCTAGAATCCACAGCATCTGAGACTATATGTACACAACTCTCCCCGAACCTGAAGGCTAACTCGTGTGCAGTACTTTCTGTCGGCGGAGTCTGGCTTGACGTCTCGCCTCTTTCTCTTGAACAGCTTCCTTCTCCAGAATTCGATCCCTTTCCTCGATATCTTCATCTTCCGCGTCGTCATCCCATATCAGCTTGTTTCTCTTGAGGACGGTGGGTTCGAGTTGCTCGTAGCGGGAAGCCTTGCCTTCCTCCTCGGAGACCTTAATCTCCTTCAACAACTTCCCGATTGCGAGGTTCTTGTCCTCATATCGGTTGCTGTCCATCATTCTCGCCAGGCTCTTGGTGGCTGCTCTGTTCAGAGGTATGCTTTCATCCCTGCAGTAATTGAGCAGCTCTCGCAGAACCCCTGTGATCGAGAAGCGACGGTTGGGTGATGAGTGCAGAAAATTCCACATTTCCAGATATAAAATATAATACCTTGGTCGGGCGAGAGACTCACCGAATTTGAACTTCCTACTGAAGTTGTTTATCAATGTCGACATGATGACTTCGTTGGGCACTAAACCTTCGTCGCTCATCCATCTCATGAACCTCTGCAGTGACTCCTTTGAATCCACCCTCATAGCGAGGATTCCGTAGGTCAAGACATCGAATTTCACGCCACTGTATGCGAGACGGGGGATTAGCATCACAGACTCAAGAGAGGCTCCAAAATGAGTTGATTTCGACTCATGCTCATGAAGAATTCACATGGCCTACCTCCTGAAGAGCTTTTTCTGGACATATTCGGCGCATGCGTATTTCTCGACCAAGCATTTCTTCAACAGCTGATTCCAAAAGCCGACATCCATCTTTTTCAGCGGGATCTGTTTCAAGAATTCCAGCAGTTCTTCTTCGGAATGGATGCAGCGGAACAACATCGAGTAAGTGGTTGGCGACGGTCGGAGCTAGGGAAAACGTTTTTCTCGTCAGTGAGGGTCTCTGGGTCACGGACGGATGACCCGGTGACGATCTATGATCGAAGAGTATCCGAACTCATCGGAGATCCCAAAAGGCATTTGAAAATAGCTGACCTCGAAATAAGACATCTGCTTCAATATTCCCGGAACGCCACCGATGAGGGCGAGCCTCTGGCTCACACCGTCGGGTATTCGGGCAACGCTGATCAAGGTCTCGTCTAATCTCACATCCAGGAGATGATCTCCTGCTGCGATTTGGCGGACGCCCGGATCGCGCAACTGGGAGTGTTTCGCGTCGTTTAATAGTCTGGGGGGAACAGTGAAGAAGATGCTAGTCGATGCTTTCCGCATGTATTTGGATTTTTGGGAACATTGGAACAATGTTTCATTGAATCGGTTCATACTTATTCAGCACTTCGATATCATCGCCGCAACCGCATTCGAGAGCCGCTCGTATAAGGTTGTCGTATAACTTGACTGAAGGCTTCACGCGATTCCATAAGACGAGTCGCATCACTCGAACCGCGAGCACGAATCCCATCTCTTTGTCGCCGACACAAGCCATCATCAGGTGAGTGTAGGTATCGATTGTCACAGGGTACTTCTTGTCGATCATCTCGTCCAGCAACTGCGGGTAAAGTAAAGTTCCCAAAACGGGATCGAATGTACCAGTCGCCAAGAACGGCAGTCGTGAGCTCCTGGAGCAAAACGTGCTCTTTAGAGCCATCTCGCTGCACACGTGATCCTCACCTTGAAACAAGTAGCTGAATCTCCATGCATGGCGAAAGCTTTGATCATCGCATGATAAGTTATATCGGTACACCGCCATCCCTTGAGAGATATCTGCGGAGAGACGTTCGATCGAGTTGAATTCAAACGATGTATTCGGGTTTTCTGCATAATCAATTGGTAGAATACCGTTCAAGTCAGCATCTTCCCGATCCGGAGATTCGGGATGTCGGGTCTCGTTTTACCTGTGCGTATAAACCGCTCGCTCTCTGGAGAGCAGTCTGACTATCTTCTTTGTTATTGGCGCAAGCATTGAACAAGGAGGTCAGCGTCCCAGAACTCGGCCTGAGAGACCGCTGTTTCATGAGCTGAAAAAAACACAACTCATCAATCCTGTCATGGAATAGTTTGAGATCGGCTCAACTCCAACCGAGATTCCTCTGTCTAGTCGAGCGCTAGGACCGTGAAGCATCTCGGGAGCTGACGGAAAAATCGTAAAATTGACTGTAGAATCCTCTGATTCAACTCATGAAGATTCGCGTGGGCCCTAACTGGACTCACGGAATACTCACCCTCAAATATTTAAAGGCCAATTCTGAATGCCCGATTCTTCCTACGGTTTTAATCATGTATCTGAACATGATCGGATGAGGATATTTGATGTCGCGATTGAAGTACGTTGTGGCATCGGCGATCTGCGAGTCGAACATGAAGGTTCAAGTAAGGCAAGGGCACCAGTGACGGGTCATTCGCCGGGACTTCCGAGGTACCTGTCCCGAAACTGGTACCTCGGCCCGGCATTTTTTTGCCTAATCTCCGATGCGTCGCTGCCGATCTGACATGCGTGCACTCTTGGATTTTCCAGGTGGAGATGACATATGTGTCTCTGACAGGGCTTGGCCAAACTATGAAAACCGTGCGATATCAGCGTCAGACAGGCCGGGTGCAGAGACAATCGTTTTTCCATATTTTTCTCTGGACACCCTCGAGACCGGAGGAAAAGAAATCACAAGGTGAGAGGAGCAATGGAGTATGATTTCGGCGTCCGAATTTTCCTCGCTGTCTGACGCTAATATTGCAGGGTTTTCTTAGTCAAACCAAAACCTCTCAGACAGAACCAATGCCCCCTCCAACTCAATAATTCAAAAGTGATTGTTCACCATGGCGGCTCTGAATTGAGCGTTTTTCATCCGATGTAGACTCACCCGTCCAGCCATCACCAGTTTCTTCAGCTCCTTCATGTGGAGTTTCTGCCATCGCTCGTGGGCGGCCCTCAGAGCCTTCGGCTTTGGAATTCGCTCGCTGACTTCAGGTCGAGACGAATATTCTCGTAGCTGTAGCTTCCCGAAACTCTGACATAGTCTCCTGAGCATTCTCGAGCTGAATAAGCGATGTCGATGTTTAATTAAGGGGATCAGGTGGTGTTTTAGCGGATGATCCTTCTCACTGTCATTCTGGAAGTGATGAACCGAGCGACTTTCTAACTGGATCCTCGCGGACTCTGATCAGATAATTCTAGCCGCTTTCGCTGGAGCTCTGAGTTCCCAGAGTGGTGTCTGCGAATCCCACAGAACTTTTAACGCTCAATTCAAAATTTCCGGCGTCCTCGATTACGTTCTCCGATCGAGTGCCTTGTATCTTCCCGTGTATCGCGCACGGAAAACACATGTGCTTGTTGCCCTCTCTGAGCCGCCGCCAGGAGCCTGAATGTTTACATTGATGGAAGCATTTCTCTCCGCATGTCTTGAGCGGACGTGGAGTAGAGGCGGAGAAAGTATGGTCGACGATTGCCGTCGCCTGGTGAAGCGAACAGAATTCGAGCAAAGACTCCCACCTTCATAAAATTTATTGGGTTTCCCCCGGCAAGGAAATCCGAAGACTACGAGAACTCGAATAGCTTTTCGCTAACACATTCCGGTTATGAAGATTCGATTCTTTTCGGCAACAACTAACAATCCAATTAATTATCATTATCAGCGACCCATTCATCAATCCTCGGAGGAAAATGATCGACCTCTTATTGATTTCTCGAGACTCCTTGGTCCGTATTATCAGTAGGTGAACAGGGTCGCGCTTCCGAGTTTGGTAGGAGACGAGCTGAGAGCTCGAGTATTCCATTCCGAATAATTTAAGCTCTAATTCATATAATCTCACTGAATATATTGTGTGTGAACCTCGTTCGGAGACATGTTAGATCACCTTAAGATGACCTCCACCTGGCTCTGACCGCTCTGGACATTCTTTTTCGCTCAGATCAGGAATCGGGAGAGTGTCGGTGATCCAGTATTTCTCCCTTCGGATGGCAGCAGAATTCGTCTTGCTTGTTCTCCCCGTAACAGTGATAACCGCGGCGGAGCGAGCGAGTTCCGTAAAAGAATTCATGGAAAGAACCGATATCCAACCCCTCTGATATTGGGAGCGGCTCCTGTACGATCTTCTACAGTAGGGCCGGGACCGCCTTGAGGATCGAACCCAAGAGAGCAATCGGGATACCTGAAAAAATCCATCTCTGATCTCGCCGGTATGTCGAACCTTAGCTCGATAGTGCCGGTCCTTCCATCTTTCTCCCGTAGGGAGTTCCTAAACAACATGAGGGAGAAATGGAGAAACCCGGAATAGGAGGGAATTCTCTCTGAATGCCATTTGTACATTTCGAGTACCTATTCTTCTTATCCCGGGGAGCCAAGAAGTCTCTCGCGAGAAAACTACCCTTGTCCAATCTCAAGTGGATCGCTCGCATTCTGTGAGCGGGATGGCTGTTATTCCTGATTCGGAGCCTTGCATTCTGATTCAGGAAAAAATAGGATGATGCCTCGCGAGGCATGCAGTGAGTTTTGCTTCCCCCAGTTATTACAAATGGCGTGCCAGAGTCCATCGCAAGCGATTATCGAGGGAAACAGAAAGGGAAGAAACTCCCCGAAAACTATCGAAACGAACTGACGGTCCATTTCTCGGAAGCTGTTTGCACCGCAATCGAATGATTGGCCAGTCCTCATCCCGAATTTCGACCGGATCCTCCCCGACCGATCCGGTTTGGACATATCGATCGGAGTCGCTGGTGAGAGAGTAGGTCGGCATTGAGGAGAGAGTTTCCATGCGATCAGGAATCTCGATTTCAGCTGCACGGCTTAAATTCGTTCCATTCATTCATGCTACTCAATGGTCCGTGAGTCGGGAAATACCTGTCTGAATCCTACAGCAGCTACTCATGGCTATTATTAGCAAATGAGATTAGAAGAGATGTGTGCATTTAGAATTTGAGTCCAGTTGGCTAGATACTCTAGAGTCTGGACGCATCCTCTGTAAAAGCGGTCCGATAACTAGCTGACCGCCGCGCCGAAAACTCGTCTCGATCAGCAGAGCTCGAGTCCTCAGTCATCGCTAGGATTAATAGAACACCGTTCGCGCAGCTCGCCGCGGTTGGCGCGCTCTTAATCGATACCGGCCGCAAACCCATACACCCGCCAAAAGCTCTCTGTGTCGCGGAGCCAAAAGCTCTCTGTGTCTCCGTGGTGCGTATATCGTCGGATGCCCCAATCGAACCTAAGTCGACGGTCCTGAAATTAATTCCAATCGTGCTGTGGAAGTGTCGCGTAATATAGAGGTGAGTATTCATGCAATGACAGCCAGATCCCCTGATCCGGAGGGATTTCTCGGGGAGAGCGTGTCCTGTGTCCTGGGGAAATTCATCTCGTTCGGATATCGATTTGTGCAAGCTATGCTCGATCGGGAGCTATTAGGGACATCGAGGAAGCATTGCTCTTTAGGGAGGACGCGCGTCGCGGACTTGTACTTTGAAGACCCTGCGAAAAGTCTTTCTCAGCCGAGGAGAACCTCAGTGGCCGTATGGAGCAGAACTTCATGATTTCCCTAACCAAGAGCCGTGTAACTTACGTTATAGCGAACATGGGGAAAGTCCGGCGCACCCGAAAACCTGCCCCCGATGGATGGGAGTTGATCGAACCCACCCTTGAAGAGCTCGACGGGAAGATGAGAGAAGCCGAGACTGAGAATCACGAAGGGAAACGGAAAGTCGAGTCACTGTGGCCGATTTTCAAAATCCATCACCAACGCTCGCGGTAAGCTCTCGTGAGTGATTGAGCTCACACACTCTGAGCATAAGCTCACAGAATATATCCATCAATCTCGTATCTACCGAATAAGAATAGCATACGTTTTGCAGGTACATATTTGATCTCTACTACAAGAGGAAAGCGATCTCCAAGGAATTGTTGGATTTCTGCCTGAAAGAAAACATCGCCGACAAGAATCTCATGGTAAGCCAATATCCGAGAACGAGCTGTTTCGGTCGAATCATTGAGCTCCGGCGGGAATAGCTCCAGTCGATGAGAAACTGTCGTATCATGTTGGGTTGAAAGTATCGTATCATCGTAAAGTATCACGCTGACTCTCGTTCTCTCTCCTACAGGCGAAGTGGAAGAAACAAGGCTATGAGAACCTTTGTTGCTTGCGATGCATCCAAACACGTGATACCAACTTCGGAACCAACTGCATATGTAGAGTTCCTAAAGACAAATTAGAGGAGGGAAAAATTGTCGAATGCGTTCACTGTGGATGCAGAGGATGTTCCGGTTGAGAATGCGCGGTCCCGGCAGAACCTAATGCGAGATAACGATCACGGATGCTTTCGACTTGTGAATATGAATGATACTCGATCAATCGATTGATGTAAATAATAAAGAGAGATAATTTGAGGCAAGTCTGCAGTTCTCCTTCGACCTCGGGCTCAACACTTCGCATCTCCACCGACGATAATTACAGGCGAACTACGAGCTTGAGAGTACTGCAGTAATTAGTGGAATGGGAACACATAATCTCTCCCTCACCGTGCTCAGCGGTAGCTTTCGATTGCAATGAGGACGAGATATTTCAGAACAAATAATCGATCGCTGATTCGAATATTGATCTGATTACGAGACACTTTCGAAACAGAGGGAGCGAGGTTCTATGCGAGCCATTCGCAGAAAAAAAACTCCGCGAGAAACTTGTTCGCGGCGACATCTGCATTGTTTTGAGCGTCTTCCGTCAAAAGTTACCCAGAGCACTCAATTGGAGAGTAATGGCGGATGCCAAAGCATGGCCCAAGAGCGCTTTTCGCTCCTTTCCCACTGGTTCAATAGGACCGTGGTCGCAGCGTGCGCTTTAGTGAGTATGACGTTCCTCGGTATTCGCGGAATTCAATTTTCTCATGCAGAAGCGGTCGATCTCTCTCGGGACGCGGTATCGGCAGGATTTCCCTTCGCAGATGTGGGCGGATTACTGCACCGACTTCGAGCCGAAGGTTGTCATCGAGGTACTTCAAACCTACTACAAAGCGAGGTAGATTAACCTAAGCCCGCATCTTAATGCCAGTTCCCCGACGGGGTTCACAAAATGTATGATCCTCGATTACTGATTTTTTCTCAATCTTTTTGTAGGGTGCAGAAAGTTTCTTATACCGGCGTGAAGTTCGGCAGGAGGAATTCTAATGGAGATTTCGATGGTTTTCTGGGCGAGGTTCAGAGAGGCGCTTACGAGATCGCCCTGACACACGTCGGAATGAACTACGAGCGCTTCGAGGCTCTCGGATTCACTCGACCTTACGCCAGCGAGAAAGTCAAGCTAGCTGTGCGGAAAGCGGGCTTTGAGGATTCTGCGTCGACTTTCATGAGACCTTTCGAGTTCGAAGTGAGACGTCGGAATGCATGATTCTCGATGTCGCTGTGACGAGCGGGGAAGCCGAGGAAGATCGCTGGAATCCCCGACGATACGAGCGTCTGTTCCAGGTCTGGCTTTCGATTATATTGAGCGGCGCCGTTTGTGGGCTCATCATGAGGAGCAGAGCCCGACGCTTTCGTCTACGAGTCTCCCTGAGTTCCATGGCATTGATTCTTTGGGGAACCTTCCTTCAACGTGGTTAGTGTTGATGCATCCGGCCCGGAGACGGTCGCGGAGCCCTCCAAGAACCAAACTGGTTCCTTTTCAGTGACTTACACACATCGATGTTTCCGGATCCCCCTCCTATTTTGGGGTCTCTTGAGTTTCATGCTCGCTCATCGGTATATGGCTTTGGTTCAGTCGTCGTTGACGTCCCCTTCCCGAATTCCGGTCATCACGACGTTGGAGGAGCTCGATAAGGCACTGGATCTTCCGACTCCCGTCAGGATCTGTCTTCAGGAAGAGAGCTTAGCAGAGTACGCGGTTGAGGTGAGGATTTGAAGAGTTGCTCTCTACAACCTCGGAGCTTGATTGGTTTGCCCGAAAGTTATCTGAATGCTGACCTGATGAGCTCTATTTGTAGACGTCAACCTCTCTCCTCACGTCCCGATTGCGATCGGCCCTGCACAACGATCCGACAGCGAGGTCCACGTTGGATGTTTGCGCCAGGAGGTTACAAACTGAGGGGAATCTCGTAACGATCGTGGATGGATGGAGGACCGAGCTCACAAGCGAGGGAATCATAACTCATCCCCAAACTCAGATATCCACGGAGAACATTTATTCGACGATGATCGCAGCGGCTTCGGACAAACACGCCGCGTCATTGAAATACTTCGACCGATTGTTCGTCGATATCACACTCGCATAGGCACTCGAATTGAAACCTTTCCGACTGCAGAGACAGGCTTCGTTCCGCATCTTAAACTCCCTGCTCTCTGATTTCAGATTCTGCATTTTGATGGAGACTGGCGTGTTCCATAGACATTTACGACTGCGAGAACACTTCCACTCAGATGAACCGCTTAGCGAGGAGCAACACCTACCCAGGGGCACGAATGTCTTTCAGAGCCTGGAATTTTTCGGCTTCGCGTACGGGACTGCCACAGTCCAGCTGATCTTCGAAATCTTCTCAATCTCAATATGCTACCGAGGGAATAGGAAACAGAGCAGCGGAGTGATTCTCGGGCCTCGCCATTCCGAGAGGACGGGGAATTCTGATCGTTTCAGTCGACTCCACCGCAACTCCCTAGAGGGACGTCATTGCAATCAATCTTCCGAGCATAGTCGCCCAATACAGATTATCTTTAGCAGTTCTTGCTCTGGCCTCAAGAGGCGGCTCCTCGTACAGGAACCCAGATAGAGCAGGTATTCACTCTGACTCAGAGGGTGAGATTCTACGCGGATCGAGCTCGAAGACGACTCGGATATCTCTTGAGCGAAACAAGCGAGAAGTAGCTTTATTCGATAATCTGGTTCCCTACACTGCGGTATTCCTGAACAGATCCCCGGGCGTTCCGATTTCACTGCCTATATGCTTCGATCGTCAGCGTTTAGCATTTCCGATCTCCTTTCGTAGCTGTACCTGTCCCGAGTCTCCACTCTTCCTAGACTCGAATCACGGAAATCACTTCAGGAGATCCGGATCCAGCGTGACGTTTTCTCCGGGCTTGAAGGAAGGCAATCCTCGGTATGGACATTCGGCACACCTGAATTCCGAAAAGACAATTATGTCACAATAAATCGCGACCTCGCTCGGAGCGTGCTCGAATCCTCCTCATCACTGAAGAACATGAACCGATCTTTCCGGGAGAAGAGTTTGATTGAATCATCCTTTCATAAAGAAACCTCCAAAGAATACTTACCGGTATGCATCACCCAGGTAGCAACTCCCGCAACTACTTTTTAGCGGAGGAGCGGTATCGATCTTGGCTTTCTCTAAATCTTTGGAGAGATAACAGGTGCAATTCTTGCACATTTTTTTCGGACCTGAAAACCGAAGCGATCCGCATTCATCCTCTCTCCTTGGAAGCGAAGGATATTGAGGGGAATCACAAGCCGACCGTCTTACCTGGTTCGGGGCAGACGTATGCTTTGCTCGGGTCGACCCCTACGCAATCATCGCTATGCAGCAGCTGATCGTCGTCAATTAGCTCGCCCGTTTCGAGGAGCCAATAAGCTTGATTCCCGATAGAGGTCGAAGCTCCCAGTTTGTACGGCGGTTTCTGTGCGAGGAACTCAACACCGCCTTTGATTTCTTTTGGTTCAGAAACCTTGATGAAACCATTCAGTTTCAGCTCCTTAGCCGCGCCGGTGGAACAGTCTGTCGAGTATACCAGTGTTCCGGACAGCTTCAGTGATTTGTGAACTTTGCTCCACTCGCTAGGCGAAAGTTTCATCCGAGGGGTAACTGCTCCCACGAAAACGACCTCGAAATATTCCTCGCGACCCTTGAAAAAATCCAGGTTCTCGACAGCTGCCTCTTTGCCCGAGGTTTTTTTCGCCGTTTCGACGAACTCCTCCAAGGCTTTAAGCTCGGGCTGCCCATTCCACAGTAGGAGTACGTTATCACCGGGCGTCACGTGCTCCATGGTACCGGGGCAGAGATTTTTCAGAGCCACAAAGCGGTAAAAAACTCTCGAGAGTTCGTCGGTCCGTCGTCGGCGCACGTCAAGTGAATTGGTGTTTACTAAGCCTCAGCTAGGCCTATGAGGAGCCGTCGACCACTTCAATTCGCTGCGATAGACGTCGATTGACTGCAGGCGTTTCCCGGACTCCAGCGAGGGCCCGCTCAGAGATGCTCTCAGTTTCAATCAATCAGCTGAGGGAGCAATGTAGATTCATTCCGGCAAGTCCTTCAAATCCCACCGGATTCGAATACGGCGCGCCATTGTTCCCTTGAATGGTTTCGGTATCATCATATGTTTGCGGACGATGATGATGATGGTGCCTCCCAGTCTCAGCTGTTCGTTGTGTCAGGAGTGATTCGAAAAGAGGAGAGATGTTCTGTGAATTTTGATATCAAGATGATTTACGGAGTGAATGAATAACAGTCCCGTTCCGTAGCTTCTGTATAGAGACGGATATCGGAGAATCAATCCAGGCATGGCTTTCATGAACCCGAAAGCCTTGTTCACAAACTTCGACGGCGCACGATATTTCTCTAAAGGTTCATTTGGCTCGAAATATTCCCCTCGTAACTCTGTCATTTAGTAGAATTACTTTTTGCTCGAATCGGAGAAGCATCCTCCTATGAAAAAAAGCTCGGAGCCCTCATGCCAGTAGAATGTCTCCGAATCATTCGATTCGGAATCAATCAAACTCAGTTTCCTATAGGTAACTCTCGAGTTTCGTTTGAAATCTAAAACGGGTAATCTCTCGATTTTTCCCGGGAAACAGTGGATGAGCCGGAAAGATGTGCATCGCGCTTGAGTTACTCCCCATCTCAGAATATCCTAGCTGTCGTGACTCTCGATGGAGCGGTCGAGATTTTTACTGGAAGAAACACCACGCCGGAAAACGATTTGCAATCATTCAAACCTTACGCGAAGATCTCGTTGCCTGACGATGAGTGAGTGCTGATGAGATTTCGATTGGCCAGAAACATAAGGGACTATCGGATTCCGTACCGGATACCTCATTTTATTCATTTTAAGGGCCACCTGCGTTTACCTGCTGACAGTTACGTCGAAAAAATCTTCAATCATTGGGGGGAGTTGGTGCAGCGTAGTGGTGGGCACGAAATGTGGCAATGTCCTCTTCCACAACGAAGAAGGCCTCTTATTGATACGCCAAGCTTTATTTGGCCAGCCTGTTTCGAGTGTGTGCGCCTCGATCAGCGCTCACCTGCAGGGATACGTGTACGCTTCATCAGGTAGGAGCTCATCGGTGAACGCTGGAAATCCCAACCTTCTCCTGCGGAATATATCCCCTGTATACTTTATGTATATACTTTATATTTTCTCTCCGGAAGCTTCGTCGATCGATGTCGTGGTATACGGGGAACTCGTCCCAGAGCTCGAGAGTCATTTGAATTCGGCGCTCCTATCTCCGAGCAAGGCCAACGTTCAAGTGCCATTGAACTGGAAAAATCTCCGTCTACAGCAAGTCAAGAACACGCAACAAATTTCTCTGACACATCATGGGAGTCCTGAGTGTTATTTTGATCTCCTGGAAAGGTGAGTCTCGTGCGTTTCGATATTCCAGGGAATCAATCTTAAAGGCAAGCTCTAGCTCCGATAACGTGCTCATGTCATGCTTCTTAAGGTGCACCATCGACCGACATTCCGTCCGTGGGGAGCTGTCGAACGCCATAAACCTCCAGGTCTCCAGCGTGGGCGCGGATCCATTCTACAACCTGACCGTTAGCAGGGAAGTTAGCCAAACGAATCTCGTGTCTGACATCGCGGTAGCGGTCGCGAATAAGTTCACCCGGATGCTATCTGAGTAAGCTTGAAATCTGAACTCGCCATCAGTGCTACTCAGAATCTTTTCCTAATCTTTCCATGCGCGATAGGTACGCCGGCAGCATCGAAATGACGCTTTACTCGCTTTCAGCAATGTCCCTTTCTGGGGATCTAAGTCAAACGCTCCCACCGAAGCTGAGCTCGCGCCGAAGATTTCTAATCTCAATGTTCTGCATCAGCATGGCATTTTCGATCGAGACCGTTTGGGCACGAGTATGTGCGTTTCTCCTAGCAAACGATTCATCGCCCTGGTCGACAGCCTTGCGAGGGTGGTCCTCATGGATGCTGGGAAAGGTATTGGACTATTTTCAAAAAGTGTAATGGAAAAACTTTCCCGGAGAGCGAGCGATAACTCTCCCTGCTCAGGCCCACGGGGCGTGTCGAGCCTCTCCTCGATCGTGAGAATAAGCTCTTAGCTCGAGAATAAGTTTCGATCAATATCGTCTGTTCCCCAGGTACTCCACTGTACGTCATGAAAGGATACCGTAAAGCTCAGCTCGGTTGGATCACATCGAGCTCTCTCGATGGTTCTGGCCGCACCTTGGAGCTTCTTGTGATTTACTGCGCCAAATCCATGCAGCTGGAGTTATGGAATACGCGAAAGGCGACCAGAGTGACGGCATTTAGCGCACCAGGGGGCGCGGGTTTCCTCGTGAGTGCTTACCTGAGTGACTTTTCTTGCTGCGATGCCCTCGGATATTTTTTCACCAATGCCCTCCCATCAGACCGCTGTGTACTCATGAGAATTTTTCCAGGTCTACGATTCGGGGAGCATCGCCGCCGGAAACGAAGACGACTTCCCCCCCGAAGATCATCAGGCCTATTTCATCACCAAAGGCGGACTACTCTACGATATTCGTATTTTATTTTCTGAGGCGCTCGAGTTTGAGGACTTGGCTGAGATGCAGGGTCATCTCGATGATCTTGCTGAAATCCGAGAGATCCTCTTGCAATACAGCCCCGAACGGCTGGCAAGGTTCGAGAGGCTACTCAAACGCTTCAAACGCGTGTCTTTGCTTCAACAAATTCTCAAGCTAGTTTGTGACTGCGATGGCGTGGACGGGCCTCTCATCGACTGCGTTGTCAGGACTCTGAAAGGGAAAAACTTCCGCGGCGCGCGGAAAGCTACTGAGAGACTCCAGAAAAATCTCTCCAAGATAGAGCGGGTCGTCTGCATCTTCGACCACCTGAAAGAAAACGCTCAAAAGCCATTCGAAGACGAGCTGTCTGAACTCCCGCATTGCTCTGATCTTGATGCTCTGGCACGTTATCAGAACGCCTTCCAGTATTATGATACCGATAACGATATCGCGTTCTCGCTGGAGCAGGTGAAGCTCTGCGACTTTCTAAACAGTTTCGCGGTGCTTTCCGACTCGAAAGATTCCAAGATTATCGCCGAAAAATACGAAGAGCATCAACATCTAGTCGCCGATTGCCTGATTGCTGCAGCGGCAGATGAATCCCTATTTCGACTCCTCAAAGAGCTAGACGTTTGCTTGTGGTCCATAACCAGCAATCTCCTGAGCTCGCTGTTCAGTACGATGACCAATGACACGGACAAGTGTTCGCGAACTTACACAGTTCTCCGAAGCATCTTGAACGAAATGAGAGCACACGACGAAAGCATAGAACCGTTCCTGCATTTGGTCTACGAAGAAATATCTACGACCGAAAACGTTCCTGCCGCTATACTAGCCAGCTACATGATGCGCTGCGCCCTGGATGTCGAACGGCACAGTCTCCTCGACGAAGTCGAAGAACCGCTCGAGTGTAGAATATTCAATGGCCTCTTCAAACAACTTCAAAGCATTCTCTCGCTTGCGGCTTTGCTTCGATGTCGCGTTCTAGATCCCTCATTGTCTAGCAATCCTTGCGCGAGGATGTTCCCAATATCACTGAATGGCCTCAGGAAATCCGAAGGTCACATCAGCTACATCGTTTCGCAGTGGATCTGTGAACAGCGTCTCACCCACGAGCATCTGACTAAAGCCCTCAACAACCAACCGACCCTCACGCCGTGTCTGGAACAATCCCTGGAGACTCCGGAGATCACTCTGGACGTCGCTCTGCAGCTGCTGTGCGACGTCCGGATCACGTTCCCGGTTTCGTTGCAGCTGGAGACGCTGTTGGCGAATTGTTGTTGGAGCTATCTCTGTCTCTGGGATAAGAACTACGAGGAAGCCGAACCGCTCGATTGGTGCCTCGACTACTTACGCGCAATCAAAGCCTTCAAGCTCAAGGAGGGTCTCTGTCATATGATCTGGAAATCTCACCTACAAACCCGCGTTATCTCGTTGGCGAGGATCGTAGAGCAGACCGGTAGCCTACCCGACGCTCAGCTGATCCGTCACGTTCAAGTGGGCAAATTCGTCCTATTGAACTTCTTGAATTTTTGTTCGACCATTCTCGACGTTATAATCGAGGTAATTCAGCGCCGCCCGCGATTAGTCCGACCTCCATCAGATATCAGGTGCTTCCCTCTGGCCCTCCGTCTATTGATTTCACCCTTTTTCAGAGTATGCTGCCAAGCGAAGACATAGAATTGCTGTGCCCCCTGTCGGAAGAGGAAACTTTGGCTCCTGGATTCTCTGAAGGTGACCCCTCCCTGATTTCGCGGGCGCTCTCCTTGCCGCAGGCGCTCCGAGAAACGGTTCATCTCCATTACAGTCTCGTCACAATTCTGACCTACTGCGTTCAATTCAATCTGGACGATATTCAGCCGCTGTCACTTTTCGATAGTGCTGTAAGTATGCCTTGTTCCGTTTTCCACAAGATGGAGCTTATTGTGCAACCTAGGTCAACTGTGAAGTGAGTTATATATACCACTTTAATATTTTCTTGACGGTATTCTCTCTGAATATCCAGGCTCAGAGCGCTCTCTCAGAGGATATCTGCGAAGTGTATACTCGATACAACCAGGCGACTTCCGCAAATGTTGCGCTGTCGAATCTACGTAGCACATTCCTGAGACGATCAATCGAGGCCTGTGTGCAGGTACTGCCCGATTCCTTCGATTCAGCCGAGCTCAATCAATGTCAAACCACCGTGTCGCGACTGGTTGACTTGGCCCACTCGTGGGATATCGATCCGGATGTCGTCAAGAAAGAGTACGTGGTGAGTAGGATTTCCCATGTCGCTGCTTTCGTAAGTCCGTGACTTGTCTACCCCTCAGATAGATGCATCGTACCGTGTCCTCGAAGTTTTAGGGCTTCCCGATCACCCTTCATATGACTCCCCTGTTGCGTCTCAAGAAACGTTTTCTCGTCAGTCGAAAGGGGGCGTTGTGCTTTATCAGAACTGCACGCGTCGACTTTATCATATTTTTCATCACCCATTCGCGCTGTGCGATGACTTCATGGGATCAATTTTCTCGTGTCTCTAGCTGCAACTCTACTCCGGTGGGCACGATCAGCTGGCTCAGGAAATCATGTGTCAAATCGGTGAACGCCGCGCTATGGTGGCTCCGCTGATGATAATTATCGGCCTGCGGACTCGCTCGGTCCTTGGTCAGATCGACAATACAACTTGTGAGAAGCTCGGCGCAGTCTCCACCAAAGTCAATCGATGGATTGCGGAACTTGTGAGTACCGATCTGATTCGCTGAGGACCGGCTGTCGATGAGGTCTGGATTTTGGTTGTCCTCTCAACTTAAGACTTGATCGATTGCAGCCCGAGCGGACGCTTAGGTGTACCGACAAGAGCGTCGATAGCACGATGAGCTTGGTCCAGCTCGTTCTCAATCTCGTGCGCGAAGGCGATGCCGAGGAGATCCTGTTGAACGAAATCATACTCCTCCTCACGAACATCCAATACACAATGATGTAAATAGGGTGATATCCCGTCGTGATATTATCAACTTAATAAAGAGCGATTTCACCGTCTTCTTCCGAATCAGTTAGGTGAATCAATGGTACGATAGTCGATCTTACCCACATATTTCATCGTTTTCGTCTCATTGCTGTCGATACGGTCGCTTTCTTCCCCGGAATTTTTCGATGTTGTACTACAAGACCGGAATGTAAACTCTAGTTCAATGTTTACTCAAGCCGGCTCGGAAGGAATCTCGGTCATTCGACCACGACTCAGCCAATATGACGTCTCTCTGATCAGGGAGTGGTTGATCAAGATTCTCCTTAAACACCGAGACTTCGGTCGAGTGGTTCCAAAACGGGATAGCAGCAGGGACGTCCGCGCTCGGGGATCGAGAGGGGAGTCTTCAGAGTGTCACCGATTGAAGAAACTTGAGCACGCTCCCCCGTCGACTGAGAGCCCGTCAAAACCTTCGCGCCTGTGGTGGGGACCTCTCCAGTTCCGCGACGCCGACAGCTCTGGAAGCTCACGGAAACTATTTCTACTCTCTCAGTGAGCGCCCATTCGTAAACATTCAGCCTGCCGTGGTCGGAAACTCAGCTAGTCAGCAAAGAGGACAGTAAGGCGGGAAATCTACTCGGGCGGTCGCTGAAGGTTCCTCATTCAGTCTGACGTTCCACCGGAAACGTTCGTCTTCGCGCGGCGTCGGTTCCGCCCCGCGGTGGAATGCACGCCCGGAAGGAGTTGTGACAGTACCTACTTGGAGTAGCCTTAAGCCGGACGCCGATCGAGATAACTGGCAGCGTAAGCAAGGGTTCAATAGTCTATCCGTGACGGCTCGTTCGGTCGAGGAAACGCTGGCAGAGAGTTACACCCTCTCTACACGCCAACGTTATTATCAAGCCGACTATTGTACTCCCGACAGGCGGGCTCATACTTGAGTCACGGCTAAATTTGAACTAGACCAACTAAGGGAGCGAGCACAAAGTGAAAGCCGTGAGTGCGCGAACGCGTTCGCATGTGAGCGTGGTTCGCTTCGGCGGTAAATCAAGCTTCCAAAATGACTTGGCAGGGGGAGCGGATGCCCCCTCCGAATCGTTGCGAGAGGTTTTCTCGCTATGCCCTGATTTGTTGCAACGTTCTGTCATGGGTGAGTGATCGATCGTTCCATAGGTGGATCTTTCAGAGTTTCGGCTGCACCTGATTTCCCGCTCTGTATGGACTCTCCGTGAGCGGAGCCCGACGTCCATGGAGCTCGGATGAAGAATACTTCTCCTCTATCTCGTTTTCTGTATACAACGTTTCAGCTCTTCGGTCTCGCAATGATGATTTTGTGCCTTTTCATCGTATACGACAAGGGACTCGTCGAAGTCCGTGAGAACCTACGGCTGTTCGGCAGTTATAAAGTCGGTCTGGTGATAGCCATATGCATTGCCATCGGAGTCTGCCTGGTCAGCCTCTTAGGTTGCTGTGTTACATGGCATCGCTCATCGAAAGGATTGATCATCTACAGCGCTCTTTGCATTCTGTTCGTGATCGGAGAAATAATTGTGATGGTTTTGGTTTTCAAATACACGTCGAGCAACAAGGTGAGTCAGGATAGTCAAGATGTAGACGACGAGTATCCCGATGCGGATCTAGACCGACCCGCGACAGATCTGAGAAGGCATCCGAGCCTCGCTCCGGCAATGTACCCCCGTCCATTCAATCATCCGGAATTTTTCAGCTGGATGAGATACTCTCGCGCGAGTTCCAGAGCGCCATCAACCGGATGAAGCTCGACAAGAAGCAGGCGACCCATTTCATGGATACGATACAAGAGAATTTGCAGTGCTGTGGAGGATTCTCCTTCGAGGACTACACCCAGCAGGAAATGGATCTCCCGCGTAAGTTATAGAACTCTCCAGGAGTTTCGAGGAACGAACTTGACGATTCCGCACCGTTGCCGATTATAAGCGATTATTTTGCGTCTCGTTGAGCTTCGTTTCTGGTCATCCACAGCGAGTTGCTACTTTGGAGACGCGAGTGTTTACGATGTCGGTTGCGGGAAAATGTTGATGCGGCATCTGAACGCAAACGGTCTTGCCGTGGGCCTCATAGCCGTCTCAATTTTACTACTGCAGGTCAGTGTAACGACGACTCTCCCAGCCCTCCGGAAATTCGTAATGAGTATTCCTAAAGACACAAGCATTACGTTACGCCGATCGGGTTACAAGAAGCTCCCGGTCGCCAGATTCACTTCCGATATTGAATCACAATTGGTCCATGCCATGAATCAAGTTTGAAATCCTTTTCCATCTCTTTCCGCAGCTTGGGCTCATCGTGTGTTCATGGTCGATTTTCTTCAACAAACGAGAACTCCGGAGACGAATCGCTGCATCAAAGGTTTGAATTGTCTCTCCGCGGGCTTCGGAACGGGACTCGGTGACGTGTAAAGTAGTCATACGCTGCGTCCGAAGAATATTTCCCGGCACCTGTTCGGGTGGGTCGTCCCCACCGCTTGTTGTACAAATGTCTGTCTAGCTGCATTCAGGAGATTTGGAAATGGGGGAACCGCTGGCTCGGTTGGGGATCCGGCAACTTCTCAGGGAGTCTCTATTTAGTCGGCCTCCAGGCGAATTAATAGTTGATTTCGATTAAATAAGCTAGTCATTTATATTACTGTGGATGAATAAAGATCGTCGATCGATTCCATACGCAATCTCCCGCAGCACGAACTCATTACCACGAACAAGTGATATCGTCTCAGCCGACGCGGTCCCAGAATCGGAGAAGATCTCTGGATTACATACGGCTCGCTTTGTTTGGCAGTAGGGCAACGCTACGTGTGGGCTCGCTCCTGTACGATACCCCTCGGTTCTTGTCGATACTTTATCAATTGATCATCCTTCAGTCATCGGAAGCTATTCTACGTCTGAATAGTATCTCTTGGGAAACCGGTCTGAGCGAGACGCCGACTTCTTCGTCAAAGGAGACTTCCTTTCCTGGCAGGGGGAAGGTGTCGAACCTCTGAAGTATCGATGTGAAATAGATGAATACTTCCATCTTTGCGATCACCTCACCAGGACAAGCACGTTTACCTGCAGGAACGGAGACTCGATTCATTCGGTGAATTCAAAAGAATTTCGTCGGCATCGTATCCGCTCGCTGCGGTGATCTCACTCACCGAAAGAGAAAGGAATCAGGTTATCGGGCTTGAAAACTTTCACTTCTCCGTCATCGCCGGTCTTCAAGAACCTCTCAGGCTTGAATTCGTTAGGATCGTCAAAAACCTTCGGGTCGTTGTGGATAGACCATATGCAGGACACAACAATACTGCCTTTCGGAATTCGGTAACCTTTCACGTTCATTTCCTGGGTGCACCTGTCGAGGAAGGGGGCAATCATTTCCGAAAAGTTATAACCGGTGCCTGAAGGTAACACGAATGTGATAAGGGACGGGACGACACACTCGCATTTGTGGACGCTCGACTCTGATACGGCAGGGCGGATTTACCTCCGCAGGATGTTTATGGGATTGATCGGTTTCCAGCGGAACACCTCCCAGATGACTGCCATGGTGTAAGGCATGCTCTTGTTGTCGTCCCACACAGGGGAACGATCGCCAATCACTCGATCGATCTCGCTCTGGACTTTTTTCCTTACGTCGGGGAACGCTGTCGCGACGAGAAGCAACCAATCAATGGTCGTCCGGACGGTCTCCGAACCGGCTCCGAAGAACGAAGATACGTTGCCAACCAGAACGTTTCCTGACGCAGAGAAAAGCATTAGAATCATTGCGAGAAGCCTGGAGCTCCCCGAGGTCAACAGCACTTCGGCTAGAGAGTGGATTTTGGGGCGGATGCCAAATTTCACGATTTCCATAAGTTATGATCGACTGGTATCGCGTCGGATACGCTCCCGACGGAAAATCGAGGAATAGCTTCGGATGCCTGAGAGCTGGCGCATTTGCCAGGCTTTACATCCGAGAGGAACGAAAGAGGTGAACTCAGCTCTCGAGCCTCCCGATCCGGAGATATTGTCTGACGGAGTGAAGCTCAGCGCATCCAGCAGTCGAAATACAAAACGCGCATTCGCCGCCGTGAATGGCCGCTTTCCTTTCAATTCTGTGCTCCTCGTTGTAACCGAAGGAGTAGCTTACATATTGTTATGTATCGGTGGACGCATAAGATAGTTCTATACAAGGATCTTCGCGGTAGGTCTCTCCCACTGAGAAACCATAGATAACTGATCGATTCTCGGGATTAGGGAGTCTTGCGGAGGCAAAGATTGGCGCACTTACGTTGGAAAGATGATCTGCGAGTTTCTTTCTGCATCTCGTGCAGGAAGTAATCGATGTAGTCCCTGAACGTCCCCTCCTGGAAGCTTTCTTCGTGCAATTTGACCCGCTTCCTGATCGAGAAAATGACCGATTCCATTAGGAGCACGAATTTATACTCGTTAATAAGACTAAGGCAAGATTAGAGATTCTATGATATTTGAATGACCCGGGAGAACTCACTCGCAAAAAGCTTCTCGTCTTATGAGAGCCTCACGGAGTTTGTTGCATGATCCCCACTTTAGCCAGAGCATGATTTTCTTCACCCAAGGCATGTAATGTACGTAGGCAACCTGTCCTGCGCGCCTAGGAATTTCCTGTGGACCGAAATCTTCATAAACTCATTTGATCTCGTGAATTTCGCATGGTGTCGTAGCATCACAACAATTCTTCCGGGAAGACGGAATCGGCTCGGGATTGTCATCATCCATATAATTCGCGTCTCCCCCTGCCGACAGCAGGAAAGAGCATCTCGACTGGGTCTGCCCTATCTCCTCGAAATTATTCTACGAATCCACTCACCATGATGAGCTCGTCAAGCATGATCCTGTCGGGGTCGCAGTACTCGAAACGCTTGCCGAAGGCGAGTGACGAGATGATGTTCGACATCGAAGGTATCAGAAGTACGGTCGGCTCGATGGGCTTACCAACAACTTTGTCGATTTCTTTGAGAAGATGTGAGACTTCCATCTATGGGAAGGAAATAGAGCTCGATTGCAAGTCCGACTCCAAACAGCCGCGTGCTCACTATCGCGTCATTGATTCGGGCAAGGCTCGCCAGAGTGAGACCGATCAACTCGCTCGAAGACGTATGGAGCTCCGACGCTGGAAATACATGCCTGAATGTGGTGCTCTAGGGTTTTATCCGTGAAGGCGAATTCTTTGAAGAGTTGAACTGCATACCGGCGCTGCTCTTGCCAGAAAGGTCCGTTCAGCGTCATAAGGCCTGCGATTCGAGGAAAACTCGGTCATTATGCGTCCCGGACTTCTCCGAAAAAGATCCCAAGGCGATCTCGGTTTCGCATTTCCGGATTTTCGCCGCAAATTAGACATCGTGGAGGATAGAAAGTATGTACGATTGATATATCCGAGGCTCTGACGATTCTCCAGTTGCTCAGCGAGTCATTGCTTCGTCACGAATAACCATGGTCACCCACCCATCGAATCTTCATATATCGCGAAAGGCACTTCCGGAGGTCGCTCGAGCACCGTGTCCTTGTTGAAAACCTCTTTCATGGTCTGAAACTCGGCCAGACAAACGACATACCTCGAGCCGAAGTAAAGTCTGTCCCGAGATATATTTTCAATAAGAATCAGTATATCGGCGCCGTCAGCATGGAATAGGTTCCATGATTTTTTTAAGCATGACAATCACGATTGATGGGACTGATTCAGAGCATACCCGAAAACATCCCCGTATTTTTGGCGCAACTTATCCAGATGCCTCGGGGGGTCTTTCGTCAGGAACGGGAGATATCCAACGAACGGATACCAACATATTGGACCTGGCGGTAAGTTCGTGAAGAAGCGTCTGTAGATATAGAAGCTCAAGAGAACAGCGGCGAACAGGAGTACTTCAATCATCGTCGGGCTGTGCTAGGGACCTGTAATTATAGACTCCGTTATAGATGTTCCGTCTGAAATTCAAGCAGAGCCTCGAGTGTACCGGAGAACTTCTGACGGGTCGAGCGTGAGGACCTACAGCCAGTTCGTTTCAGTCAGCAGCAGGCCTGCTCCTTAGAGTCGAGAATCTGCCCGTCGGCCGTGGGGGAGTGTCTGTATCTTATTGGAGCATTTCGAATACATAGCTCGGACATGAAAAGGCTTCCAGACCTGGTCCCGGCTTGAAGATTGCTCACGGTACACTTGGCAAAATTTCAATTCACGACACTTGTTCCGCCTGCTCGATGGAATGAGTGAATTGAAAGGGACGAAAACAGAAAATTCGATCCGTACGTCCGTAGTAGGTGGCCGTCAATCGCAAGGACAGCTGGGAGAGAATGCAATTACGCTTGTGGCGACGGAAGAAAGCGCGATAAGTGGTGCGCATAAGAGCATAAGAGCAGGATTCCAGGGAAACGCTTCCGAAAACTCCTCTAGCAACCGCCTTGAGATACAATCGATCGATCCTCGAATATAGATAAGACGGATCCGCAATAGATAGAGATCTCGCGAGAAAGTCCAGAAGGTGAACTGATTCAACCCCATTCTCCGTCATCAACGTTCTCACTCTCTCCAGCTAAACGCGGGGCACTCACTTGAACTCCCTCGTTTCGTAGAATCACGAGCGAGATACGCCTCAGTCGGCGCAATGTGTCTACCACTTGCTTCTCCAGCGATGCAACCCTAGGCGCAGCTCGCTGGCACCAATTATGCAGATGGGAGCATTTGCGGGGCACTAATCTTTACAGTCCTTCCGGGCGATGCTTGACCCACTCACACAAAGGGCAGAAAGTGAGACGCACCGCAGAGAACAAGGGGACACATCTCTTTTCGTCCGGCGGAGACCTCGCCTGGATGACAGTAAGCTCGTCTGGGAGCGTCAAATCTCCAAGAGAACGCTTTAGAGCGAGCCCCACATGTAAACATCTCCTCGAGCTAAGTAGAACAGGGAGGACTATCGCTGCTTTACGCGATGCTGTATTCTGTAACCTTGCTGATAAGCTGATCGTTGCGAAGCGAGGCCGTGGAATTATTCTTGAATCGAGTCTTCTGCTCTCGATATCCTCGAGACTTTGAGAATTTCCGGCTCCATCAGCCGTAACATATCGAGATTTCATCGACCACTAGGAAACTGGACCCTCCGTGCATGCCGTATGCTTCTTCATTTCCTAATCGTGTCCGGAGGGTCTGGTCCTCGATTTCTTGAAGATAGCGGCAAAGAATGAAGTCAATTCGTCGTGATCCCCGGAAGCCAGAGATACGACGTCGGTGGAGCGACGCGACTTATCAAGACCAATCTATGGAAATGTGCGCTTCCACGGATGTACACGGACTTGAACATCATCATTATCATTATGTATGTATGAGCTCAGGTACCCTGCTTCTATTCGATGCCCCTAAAATTGGAGCGCCGCGCCGTATCAGTTGGGTCAGTGGCATGCTTCTACTCGATCGATGACACCCCGCAAGTGCATCTCGACTCGCAAGAGAAAATTCGCGAGGCGGCTGATTCTTCGCATGGCACGTGCGCCCGCACCACGTTCACGTCTCCGAAGGCGGAGGCTCAACTTACCGGGGGCTCCCACGACCCGAAACACATGACAGCTCAGCATGGGTTTTTGTAACCTTTATCGAGTTCTGCTGGCTTTTACTTTAATGCTTTGTGTATTTAGTGCTCCCAGCCCTCTCTCGAGCCGGATAGTTCACGTGCAGTGCTACAGAGAGAACACGCTGATTCTCCGGAAGCCTGTCAAGATAGTCAAGACGGATCACGTTTCCGAAAGACGCGTCCGCTTCGTGGTGGAACACGAGAACTCAGCCAGTCTCTTCAATGGAAAAGTCATCTGCTCACCGATACGCCCAAAGCTGATCCCTTGTCCGTTCCATGAGCGACCGATGGGGGTTCAGAGCAAGTGGCAATTCTGCCCGGAGCACAAGTCGAGCAAGCACTGCATTGGTACGCCGTGGAGAAGCTTCTATTCATTTTTATTCATCGACGGCTTAGGAGAGAACGACAAAGGCTCTTTCACGTGTTTGGCAACGTCAGCTAACCGTACGTTCTATGAACGCTGGGAAGTCCGGGAAGCTTTCACTGGCTGGGATCTGACGTGGACGAATAACACCGAATACGGGTTCCATTTCCAACTGAGCCACAAGGGTGAGCTGCTCAACTTTACTGAGCGACATCCGAAGACATGAGGAGCGATACGCTCATTCGAGCTCGGTTAGATTGAATCGAAGATTGAATGGAGAAGCCGAATCGAAGAGAACATTGTGAGTCGAATCGCAAGGTCCGGCGCGAGCTCTCCGGGAATTTCGGCGTATACATTATTCGATAACACCCTCTTGTTTGTTGATTCCCAGGGAGCTGCTCGAATTTTATTTTTCTTAATGTGTAATTGATTCGATTTTTCTAATGTTGAGAAATGAGAGCAAAATTCTGAGATTCCGATAGTCTTATATTCGTCCCGGAAGGGTAGGCGATGCCATGAACGGACAGATAAATTAAGCCGAAAGTTCGTGAGAAAAATTGTAATCCCTCTTTATTAGACGTTCCATAATTAGGTATAGTAGAAGTTGTTAACAGACACTGCAACGCTCGATCGGTCTGTTCGATTCAATCAAATCCCTCCCTGACTTCACTATCGACATTTCGCCGGGCGACGACCCCATAAACAATGAAAACACATTCTACTAAGTAAAGAGGCGTGCGCAATTATCTGAGCACGAACGCATGCGAAGCTCCCATACTCCGTACTCTGTCGACAGAAGAATCAAAATACTGAGCGACGGTGCATGAGCGAGAATCGATCTCGGGTTCTCGAGAGATGGAATACTGATGAGCTAAGGCGACTGACCCAGAGAATGTGCACCATGAGTAATTCGTTCGACATTGAGAAAAGGGTCTACCGCGTGATCCGGTCATCCGTTGCTCTAGAACTGAAGTTATCTCCGAAAAATCACAGAAACAAACGTAAAAACAAAATCACAAAAGAGCCTAAACCGGAAAGTAAAGCTAGAGTGCCGAGATTACTGAATGGGAAATGCCTGAGAACAATCAGGGATACACCTTCGATCTCATGATTTACATCAAAATCCGCGCGCGTCATTCTTCTGTTGCGAATTGCCCACATCCGACACGCCGACCCGGTCTGACGTGATAACATAGAGAAATCCGAAAACTTCAGAGTCGCTACGCATCGTTCCATCGGAGAGTCGTCACAAGAGTCACGACAGCTGAGGCTGATTCAGAGTCAGAGTGATTAAACACGCGCGCCGTATCGACTACGTCAGTCCGTTTCATCCCCCTCGGATACAAATCTCCTTATTTCCCTCCCGGAGCAACTTCGCGTCCTAACACTGCTGGCACTTCTCTTTGGTACCATCGTCCTTTCGGAGACTGATGTCCTTGCCCCATTCTTTCGTGTCATCCGCTTCACCGAGTTTCTCTTTTTCTTCTTTCTGTTTCTGGATCAGACGCGCAAGAGTTATGAAAACTTCCTGGATGTTGATATTCTGCTTACAACTGCATTCGAAATGAGCGATATCCAGCTGCTCGGCCATCTGCAATTCGAAAATGAACGTGAGAATGGGCTCTCCTCAAGGATGGAGGGAGCGTGTTCTGAATCTGGATGCAATATCTCACCTTCGCCAATTGAGACGCTTCGACTTGTCTCTGGCTGGTGGCGTCGCATTTGTTGCCAACGAGAACTTTCACGACGTCGGGCGAGGCGTTCTGGAAGCGGCAGTCTACTTTAAAACGATGATCGGCGAAATCCTCGCCTTAGACCCCATGGAGTAGATCAGGTCTGAACCTCATGGACGAATACGAGGGAAATGCTTACCTCCTCGACGTTCCTGAACCAATACGTGAGATGATTGAAAGAATCCATGTTGGTCACATCGTACATAATTAAAATCCCCATAGCACCTCTGTAGTAAGCCGTGGTCAACGTACGAAACCGTTCCTGCCCAGCGGTGTCCCTGAGAAGTCGATAGACCATGGTTTTCACTTCCCACTGTCAAGAATAAGCTACCGGCACTCGGAACTCAATAAATTGTCCCGGATCAGGGAAAGGAATCGAGCAATTTACCATATCTGGAGTTTGACCGGAGTCCCGTCGAGATTGATGATCTTCTGTTTGAAATCGATACCGATGGTGGAGATGTATGTATCGTAGAATCTCTCATCACAGAAGCGATGTACTATACAGGTTTTCCCTACGTTCGAATCTCCCAAGACAAGGATCTTGAAGGTACCACTGACTTCGCCGGAAACCGATGCCATCACTGATATTGTGCCTCGTTCCCGCAAATATCTTCAGCACATTGCCCGTCGAACGCTGAGGCTGAAATCGGCACACGGGAAATGATCTGGTTGCCGGACAAGGTTCTCGAGTCCATTCTTGCTCGTCCAACGTCGATTCCGGGAGCTCATCGGGAAAGTCCCGGTGCGAACCCGACGAAGCCTGCGAGGTCTGAGCTCTCCAGGAAAGACTCCAGGAAATCGCCACCGTCCAACGAGAATGAAACGGGGAATCCGTCAATTCCGTCGAAACTTTGGGAGTGCACGCAGTACCCAACTAATGTAGGGCTCCCGGAGCATGAAGGAGATAATGACAGACTTCGAGCAAGGCGTAGGCACAATTCGTGAGAGGAGTACATGTATTACGTTTCGGATGAATCATTCACTCAATAGACGGGTTGTCCCGCTGCCCGGATTGGGTGTGTTTTCGGCAGCGACCAGCTGTCAGATTTTCAGATGGAATACTCACAGAAGTGGCTCTTGTCGTCGGACGTCGAGAGCTGTCGTTAACACCGTGCTCGAACGCGAGGCGTTACCCAGCAGCAACAGACAAGCCCAAATTCAATTCCCTGACAGGAGAACAACACAGGAGGCCTACGATGGCGACCGTTGTGGAGTACTCAGGATTCGAGGGTGAGGGTCGGCTTCACTGATTGCTGTAATGCTCGAATGCGGCTGGCACAAGTCAGAGGAGCGCGAAGAGCCGCGCGGTCAGAGTCTCATCTGACCGAGCCACCGACCGATCATACGCCACACGGACTCCGGTGAGCATTTCAGATCGCAAGAAACTTTCTCTTGAGGTTTTCCCCGAGATACGCAGCGGAATCACCCGTATCCTTAGGATTTCCCGGTATGATGAGAGAAAACAATATGAGATATTATACAAAAAAGATGTCGTGGTTGTATTCATTCACCTGAGCAAACTCGATATCTATGTACACTCGCTCGCCTTGATGAATCATCATCTTCAATCTATCGATGATCGTCGCTCAATTATTAATTATTTCCACGATACTGATTTTTACACGAAACCCTCATCGAACAAGTTCAAAACACTGCAATAGAAACTATTCGCTGCTCCGTCTAGATTTCCACCGAACAACAACTCAACCAACATGAGCAGTGAGAGTGCGTTCTGTCAACGGCAACAATCATCTTGTGTACAGCTCAACATTCCATTCAAACCCCGAACTGGGAGAGTCGGCAGGATTCCCGTCCTCGGGTTCGGGACACAACTTTCACACGAGTTCAACAGCAATCCTCCTACTCAGCGGAAGGCGCGGCGTCAGAGTAGCGTAATTTCGAGCCTTGTAGTTCTAGCTGATAATCTTCAAGAGATCAAGACCGCGACGTCCCATGGATTTCCCGCAGATGATCGAGTCTTTCTTGATCTTGTGAAAATACAAGAATAGAATGATCGTGTGCAGAACATTATTAAAGCCAGATCCGACGTCGACGATGTCCTGACGGAGCTGGAGAAGGTAATGCGGTGGTGATTTCTTCGTGTGAAGGAAGAGGACCTCTTCGGATGAATCTCGACCTTCGAGTTGGCTTTCGCTCATCTGCGTCCGAAGATGGCGATGTGCGAATTGACGTCCGTCTTTGTATTCGGGATCCGGATCGAGAGCCGCATCGATGTACGAGCAGAAGGAGTGCATGAGAATCTCAGCGTCAGGAGGCAATTGGTCCGTCCACCCGATACCACCGCGGTTCCAATTCATCGACGATAGGGCAGCTCTCTGACAAAAGTCGTGGATTCGGTTCACAAGGTAGTGCTGATTCACTGATAGATCCAGGTAGAGTAAAACGTTATTGAAGCCCGGCAGGGAGTCGCACCGCTGAGAAGCTATGTGATGGAGACGCGACAAGCTGGCTTCTCCGATGAGAGAGTCTTTCTGATAACCGAAGCTCAGCAGCGCATTGTTGATATTCTCGATTTCGTTACGAAGAGGAACGAAAACTTGGTCGACGAACCAACAGCGCAGCTTCTCATTCCACGAAAAGAGCTCTTTCTCGTCGATGTTCCACCGCCGACAAATGAGCGCAGATCCGGATTTTGAATCTTTTTCCTTCTCGTCAGCGGGGGTCAGCGAGGCCGCTCGATAGGGTTGAGATGTGAATAGTCTCTGGATGGCTTCGACCCCGGAGTCGAGAACGGACGCCCGTTTCGGTGAGACGGACGTATCCAGGAAGGTGTCGTGGATGCTCCCAATGAGACTCTGCTCTCGACTCCGTTCCTTCAGGAAAGCATCGGCGCTCTTCTCGTCATCGATGTGCCAATCGAGCGCTCGGGAGTTCGGGTACCGGTTCACAATTTTGAGTTTTTCGTACGAGGGACTACTCTTGTAGGAAGTGTTGGCGCCATTCGATTGGAACTGCCATGATGTCGAAGCTATCGATGCGTTGAAGCTCTCGTTGAACGAGTTTTGTGCCGAAGGCAAGCAGAACGAGCCCGGAGACATGGTCTGCGCGATCGGGCTCGGGGCGTCAGTTTTGTCTTGGGGCTCGGATTTGATCTTGAATCCTAGGTCGTCGTTGGAAATGTTCAGGAGTTTGGCACAACTGTCTTCGATCTCACGGTCTCGGGCTAAATGCGCGTACGCTATGGATCCGATATGTCCGAACGCGAGCCCCAGCAGACCCGCCGAAAGCACGCTTTTGAAGTAATCGACGAAATCGGGCAACGGGTAGATTCGATTGATCAGCGAAATATAATAAATGTCCGCGTAGAGGATCGCGGCACCGGCGAGACAAAGAGCCGCTTTCATCGGGCCTCGCAGCTTGATTTGCCGGTTTATCTGCTTACGCTGTAGATGCTCCCGGTAGGGTGAACGACTCGGGGAAGTTGGAACCGGGTCGGCGGGGATCATTTTCCCCAGAATCGGTGGAAATTCACACTTGGTTACGCTCTTCTGGCCCCTGCTTTCAGGTGGCGGTGGCGCCACACGACTTTGTTTACGAGACTAGATGGCGCACTGCATCTTCCGTGATCTTGCCCTCAGCCGGACCGTCGAAGTCGCATTGAGCTTGAATCCAGGATTTCGAAAGGAGAGTTTCAGGTCGGATGAAGGAGGTCGTAGACACAGTTATGAATCAGTTATGAATCGCATGAATTTTGCGGTAAACACAGAGCGTATCTCGGAGATTGCTGAGCTTCTCTGCGAGTCATCGATTTTGGCGCGTAATTCGAAAATCTCGATGTCGGTGAGCTGAGCTCTCTAAGGGGAACGAAAGGAATATGCTGCGTTCCAGTCCGGAACGATATTCTGAGAACGCAGCCGATGCTTTCTCTCGAGGGGAGCATCCTGACGCTACGTTGCGACAGATCCTCCCATCAAACCCGCGGAGAGCTGCCTCCTTTGGGGAAGACCAGAAACGAATCGGAAGAGGCCGTTCTTTGTCAGAATCCTGGAATTGGAATGCGAAACGGGAACGCTGTTTGGTCGATTATTCTAGAAAGGAGCCGCGGAGTGCTCCAAGGCCTGGAAGTCCCTACTCGCCCCAGGGATAGCCTGCTTCCAAGGGATCTCTTCGTGTACCAGTATTTACCAGGATCCGTGTGTTTTCCTATAGACTCCAAGGGAAGTGAGGACTTCCTCCAAACGCTGCAAGATTTGGAGATGGGAGGAAGAAAAAGTCATCCCTTTACTTGGTCAGCACGTTGCAACACCATCCGTTGATTTATTCCGAAGGATTTGGGGTTCGGTTTGCTTCTAGGAGGCATTCCAACGCAATATAAATATAGGTATGTTTCCTTCGCACTTCTCGTGGATAATCATTTCTGTGTCTTCAATGCTTTCTTTCTCGATGGTCGAAGGTATGATATTTTGACTGAATACGGTGTTCTTCTTTTTATATTCATTTTACCATCCATCTGCGTGATTGTATGATCCTAATCTACCATGTTCTCGGGTAAAGTAATAATTCTGTCATCCGACGGTCTCATTGTTTGGCGCACCAGAAATCACGAAACTCGAAGCAGGATGACCCTTACGGAGGCGATGGCAGATTGAATAAACTCTCGAAATAACATCCGTCACTAAGAAATAGCGCCATCTGAAACATTGGGCGGTTTTGATTCCCTCAGCGGGCCCGGGGCCTCCTTTCGCAACATTTGAACGAATGTACATCATATTCTACTTTCCTCGTCGATTTCCTCTCCAAGATTAATGATTATTCTTTGAGAACGAGATTGAATGATACAGGATCTTTCCATCTCTCTGAAAACATCGGGATCCGCCACCCCATCATCGGAATGTTTCGAACCGGGTCCGAGCCTCTCCGAACCGTCAGAAGTGAAACTCTGACCCGATTACGCAGAAAGAGCTATTTTCTCAGGGTCGCTAAATGGCTCGGTTCAAGAATCAATATTTCTTCGACAACAAATGCTGTCCGGTGGTCGCCAGTCGCCACAAGCTGCAGGAAATAACAACAAGAGAATAACAACCAAACAAGGAGAGGGAAAATAGAAAGGTCCTCTCGGTGTAACAAGATCTAGCGAGCGACGAGTCTTCGCCAACAAGGAGAGGACGCTCGCCGTTCTATCATCTCCTGCCAAATCAACATTGCACCTTGTTGAGTCTGGAGTATTTGTGAAACACAAATCATTAGACGTCTCTCCCAACGGCCTGTCTCGACTCCCGTCCGGGGAATGCTAGGAACGAAATTTTCAACGAAATCGTCAAATATGAAACAGACTCTCCTACAGTAAGACAACATTAAGCACGGAACTAGTCAAGCTATTTGAGAGCAATCGACCTCGGATCAGGGTCAAACGTCGATCCACACCAATGAGGCATATAGTATACAAATCACGAGTATACAGTGGGATCATAGCGCCGCTTTCGTCGGCCGAATACCACGGTGCTCGGGGGCTCTATGCGTGGCTCACGGCTCGACGACCTCAATAATAATTCCTCTTCCAAATGTAACAGGTATAATGTATGGTTTCGTCTGCTGGTATGCTGTTATCTATATTTGTATGAACGTATGTATGTATAATATAAGTGAGTGTATATGATGTATGTATATATTATATATATACTTGAAGAATAGCTCGGTACTTTCATCAAAACGACACGGTCTTCACTCTTCCTAATGAATTCTTAGGAAGCCTTTATCTTCGGAATCGGGGTGAAATCTCCCTTTCCCTTCAGGAGCGTCCCGCGGTCTCCCGGATCACCGAAAGCTTCGAGAAGAATCGTTTAGCGGGCCACCCTCACGGTCGCCTCCTCGACCGTCTGACGATCCGTCCCCAAAAATTGCTGAAGAACCCTGTCGAAAAGTCTGACGCTACCAGGTCCGCTTTTCGATCATTTGCCTAATCTATGCGATTCCGCGTCTCTTACTGAGCTTCGTCTACCGCATCCTTCTTTCGGATTGGTTCCAGTATTCGTGCGTCCTCCGCCTCATCGGCCGGACAGCGAGCGTACATGATGCTTGGTCTGGACGAAATCTATGTACCTACAATGTCCCGTTCGCGGAGCGACTGCTCCCTCAATCAGATGCCGAAATTCGTTGCGGCCCCCTCCCAATCAGGACGGAACTCGGAGCCTGCGCGCGCGCGAGTTTCGAAAGACGAGGCTTAGCTTGTCGGTTCTCGAAAGTTATGTACAGGTATGGATACTTTGACAGCCTCGCTCATGTTGCTCGTATCTGCTGCAGCGTCTTCAGAGCCCGCTTTGACGGCGGACTCATTTGTCCTGCTCCATTGGCTCTTCAATTTTGTTGTCCGGACTGCTTTGCCTGGAACGTGAGTGAATCTCAAGTCAACCGGGGCGTTCATCGCTCTCGTCTACTCTCCCTAACGATTTGATTCCCGAATGCAATTTCATAAGGTAGCTGAGGACGTCGTTGGACTCCTGCCAAGGAGCGATCGAAGTCGTTGCCAAACACGAAAAAGAAATCCCGAGAAAATGACATAGAAAGAATTACTTAGAGAAGCGTCAGAGGGACGCAAGACCGGGGATCATTAATCGTCTCCGTCTAAGTGAATGCACATCGGCACACGATCTCAACATGTTCGCCACCGAGGAGAATATCCACACCAATGAATTGGCCTCCAATCGATCGATCAATCGACAGGATGATCGGAGCTCCGTACCTGGCAACGGAGAGCAACGCCATAGCATTAACAGTGTCTTCACTATCCTTCGTTAATTGCATGGCCTCGAGCGAAGAACAGCCGATAGTTGCAGCCCATTGTTTCGTGCACGGCCAATACGGTGCTGGGGAGTAAATTGATTTCATTAGCTGAGAGTGCAAAAGCCTCGGAATCAACGGTCGGGCCCGAGAGAACGGAGGAACCTCTGGATTCATTTTGAAAGTCGATCTTCTGGCTACGCCGATCTCTGACCCTGATGCACGAGCGATTGTACCACCATCGCACAATAACCCGAACAGTAAGTGTTCCCACCTTGGATGACGGCGACTCGCTTCAAGTTTTCGATCGCCGTTGCCGTCGGTTTCCTCGCCAGCTCTGACTCGGCCACCTTCGAGCACGCTTCTTCTCCTAAGAGAGCTCTCGTCACGGCTTCTGAACAGTCGCACACGGATGGCAAGTCGTAACCTCCTTCGAGAGCGAGCACGAGTTTGCCTTGGCAGATCGTCATCAGTTGACGAGTCATCAGACCGAAACCTGTCGAGAAGCTTTCATCAAAGGAGCTCGATAAAGTGTCGGCGACGAATTTCTCGCATCTGAACTGAGATGCGGGAGCGCGGAACTGTCAACTCACAGGCTGGACTGACGTCGTATCCACCCAGAGGAGCTGCGTGTCCTTTGGCTGCGTCGAAACCACATGCGACCATGACCAGTTGGGGTTGGTATTCTTTGGCAATAGGCATAACTATGGTACGGAACGCGGCCAGGTACTCGGCGTCCCCCATCGGAGGGTTCAAACCCCCGCTCCAGGCAATGTTCACATTGAAGCCTCGTCCATCGTCCTCTCCCACCTCGTGGGGATCCCCCGTCCCGGGGAAGAAATTTCCGTCATCGTGTCGATGGAGCGAAATGTAGAGCACGTGCGGATCGCGGTAAAATATTTGTTGGATTCCATTGCCGTGATGGACATCCTGCAATTCCGGCGGACAGATAGATTCAGTTCGGTTCCAGCTGTGCTGCTTTCTCCCGCGCTCGTTGCATGTCTGATTGCTTCCATCCGATCTGAATCAGTGTCGGCTGGCATCCCTTGAAGAAAATCGACGGATCGCACTCACCCAATCGACGATGAGAATCCTCTCGAAATTGAATCGTTGTTGAACTTTCTTGGCGGCCACCGCCAGTGAGTTGAAGAAGCAAAAACCCATGGCCTGCTGATGTTCTGCGTGATGCCCCGGAGGACGGACTACAGCGAATCCATTCTGTCAACGGCAAAGGAACACTCTTAGCTCGGGAAAAGGAACTCTGTAATTGACAAAGGGAGAGGAAAAAATCTGACTGTGCGAAGGGGATATCCGGCAATGTAGGAGATGTTACCTTGACGTCCCCTGCGGCAACTTTGCAGGCAAGTTCGATGACACAGCCGGCTGCCATTCTCGCAGCGCTTGCCGTGTGAAGTTCGTTCCACGTGGTGTCTGAATCTACACCGATTCCCCCGCATGAAAGCATCAGGAAGCTCTTGAATGGAAGGTCTAGCTTCTGGAACTCCAGCTTGTGACGATTCAGCGGGTTCGCACCTGCGAAGCATCGCCTGATTTGAGAATTCAATCAAGCTGATGTTGTCCTAACGATCCCGGGATATTATGGTATATCCGACGAAGGTCCTCCACGGAACTCTCTCGAATGTTCCGAGAAATTGAATGATTGGAGATCCCGTCAGCTTGCGAAACAATCGAGAGCGAGGCGAAGCTACATGTATATCCTGGATCCTAAAGCTAATCAGTGAGGCTTCATGCAATGCGTGTCGCTCCAGAAATAGAAATGAGCTTTGACCCGTACGTCGCGGACCCGATATCTTATCCCGTCCAGAGTTCAGAATACATCCCACGCGGCTGCGAGGATATTGTTCAAATATCGCTGTGCAAGCGTGCCGAAGATATTTTTAGCAACAGAAGAGGATATGACATTAAAAGTTATATTTAGCGGGACAATGTTTTGCAGACCAACACTTTTGTGTGCCAACACGACTGCAGGAGGACAAAATCGAATCTAGAAATTACTCGGCTAAGTTTAGAATCGGATCGATCCCGCCGCATGTACGTCGCTAACGAGGCGGGATCACGACGAAAAACAGACCCCTGAAGACGGCAATTATTGAGGTCGACCATCTCGCCGATTAGCTCATCCGTATCTGGTATGGTATGGTATGGTATGGTAGTGATCCTCGCCCTCGTGTAGCCAAGAGCCACATCGACGGGCGACCCTAGTCCAGGGGCGAGTATTCTCTAGCGGATCTCTCCCGAGGCATCAAAACTTCCTCCACGGCTAGTGCCCGCGATCATCGCGTGAAAATCCAGGAGGAAACCCTGCTCTATCTCCTATTCAAAGCGATTGCTTCATGGAGCGGCGCCCCCCCCCTCTCGACCGACTGACTGAATGGGTTGGATCGCTCCTGCCGGCAAAATTGCTGGCACCAGGCCTTGATCGACCTGGGTGAATTCGCTCTTTGGGTCCGTCACCGGAAGCGATGCGGGACATTGGGCCTGAGCTTGGAGGTCCTGCTCGGGAAGTTCACTTTCATTGTCACCAGGTAGATGAATTGGGTAAGGATCTCTAGTCGGAATCTCCTGGAGGGACTCGGAAACGCTTGGAATATACAAAAAATAAATACGTAAATCGATTCTGTCCACTCGAATGTCGTAACTATTGAGCTCATCAAGTACAGCTATTCGGTCGTTTTGCGTAACTCGGGGCAAGTAATTTGAATTTTGAGTCGGGGATCCTGACCGGTGTAGTTCTGAGGGATTTTGGCATGGCGCGAACCATTGGCGGGTCCGATTCCATAGCTAGAGGCGGCAGAGCGGAAGATATGGGGAGCAAATATCAGATTAACTTACCGAGGAGCAGAGTGTAAGCCTCAGAATGTGCCAATTGCAGCTCGTCTAACGATGCTTTACGGGAGCGTGGGCGTAGGCAACGCTGAACGAGTCCCGTTTCCTGGAGTCGCGCCCAGACGCTTTGCAATCGGCCCGCGTGCTCGGGGTGCTGTGCGAAATTCCCGCACAAACACTGGTGTTTGAGCATCACACTGTCGTACACCAGCGCTGTGGCCTAAGAACAAGAACAGGAACGATTAGTGGTCAGTCGATCGCGGATGAATGCCTCAGCTTTGTCCCTCAACTCTATTCCTCAACCCCGCCCCCCTCTTTCCCGCAGCTGCCCGTGTACATTGGGCCCATGTACGCCCCGGCTCACTGTAAGATATCGCTGATCTTCTCCACTAAAGTCGAGCATATAACGAAAGCTTCGGAATTATATGATTGTGGCGCGAAGTCGACGAATGGCGAAATTTCGCACATGCGGAAATCTATGATCGACGAGGCATTTGGGCGCCACATCGAGCTCTCCTCGCAGACGAGCGCCGGAGCGAAGGAACTTGTCTAGAGGATTTGGAAGGATTCGGGGAGGAACGTGATCATTCCAACGGCATATTCGGCTCGGATTTCGGAGGAAATTAGAGGAAGTATCTCCGCCAGCGCAAGATGTGCAGCCCACAGTTCTTCCGTTGACCTTGATGATATCAACTCGTGCCGGACGAGATGCCGCCGACCACATCTCTCTGCGGAAAGGTGCCTCTAGAAAGCCCAGAATACCACATAACGATCCGATTTCTCCCCTCTAATCTGCTGTACTCAGGGCCAGGGCGTCAAAATAAACCAGTCGGCTTGATTCGTAGGCGAGTCCGATCAAAACGAATCGATCGGAGCGTTCTATTTCTGTATGGCTCTTTTGCACCTTCTGTGTAGCTGCCCGCTCGGAGAACGGCAATCATGCGCCGGATATCGCGCCGCACTCGACGTATGCGTTTCCGTCGGGGATCGCTGCTCTATAACAAAGGTTTCGTAGAATGAACTTACTTGAGGGTTGCTCATTACAGGCAAACATTGTTGGTTGTCTTGTGTTGAACTCTGGTTGGTGGAACTTCTTTCCAACGAGACTAGAGGCGAACTCAGCGTCCTCGAGAGTCGACGAAGCTGCTGTCTACTACTGGACTCGCTACACAATCTGCGAGGATTCAAACGGAATTGCGTCAATCGATGATAGCTCCGAGTTTTCCGAGTGCGCAACAGAGGGACGACCTCATGAAGAATCGGAGCTCGAGTGCTCCGCGAAATGAATTGTCATATTTGAAGATCGGTCCGAACCTTTGCCGCTGAATCACCGAAGGCTGTTGCTTCTGCTCACTGGCGATGTCTCCGGTTCGCATTTCTTCGCCTTCATTGTTCGGCATCGAAGCTCTCGGGGCTTCGACAGGTTCGTCGTCGTCCTGGTTCATCTCTTCGGCTTCTTCCACGACGGAACTTTGTTCGGGGACAAGACCCAACACATTGGTCTTGCTTCCTGCGCGAGTGAGGACCGTTTGTCGGATGTGTTGCTTGATTAGCTGATGATGTTGCTGTTGCTGTTGCAGGGTCATGCCTGCAGCCGTTTGGAGCAACGGATGTCCAAGCGGCAGAGGAGCGGACTGAGTGCGCCCAAGCGGACGGAGTATCGATCTTTGCAATCTGGCCTGACTAGCATCGAACGAAGTTGACGGAACTCTCGCAGCTCCGCCCTGTTGCTCCAGACTCCGCATCTGGCCCTGGACAAACACCGGACTCGTCGGCGGGGTCACGTCTCCGTCTATCACTAACGAATGAATACGTACGTACTCGCTTAGAAATCCGCATTCCCGAAAATACGATAGCCACGATACGGTACACCATCGATCGATCGTTCGTTAGTGCATTTATCGACTCGTGTTCTGTCGACTCACCAGGCAGTTGTGAACAAAATCCTGAAATCGGTTGGAGGACATGGTGGTGGGAGACGAGAGGCAGCCCGAATCTGGCGGCAGCCATGGCGCGGAGTTGAGCCTCGGACATCGAGCTGAACATTTTTCCGTCAATAATTGTAGGCGGCTGAGCGGCGTTCGGCCGGCCTAGTGAAATGTTCGGCATCGAAGGAGAAGAATAGAGACCGTGTTCGAGAATCTGACTTCCGGCAGGAGGAGGACACGCCGCTTGGTAGAGCGCAGATGCCATCGCGACATCTTCCGAGATCGGAGTACCGTTCGAAGAGCCGAGCGAGGACTGCAGAGAAGTAGACGCTGCGCTCGGTGGTGAGCCATCGCTGGAAACGTGGCTCTGGCTATCCACTGCAAGGATTCGATAGGACAAATAAGACGGATAACGTGTTAGGTCGAAAATGCCGAGATTCCTGTCACATTCTGCGGTTCCGTGTTAACAGGCAAATGTGCGTTTCTTTTTCCGGGCGAATCAAGCTCCGTTAGTGCCGGTCATGAAAGCCCAGGAACACTCCATGCAAACTCACGAGACAAAGGTGTCCTCCGGCGGATAAGTTTTTCGCCTCGTCTCCTGGGGAGCAGCGGCGAGCTTCGATTCATAACTTTTTGCTTGAGAACGGAACGCACTTTGAGGTTGGGCTCGGACGCTGTCAATGGCAAGCGGTAGCTTCGTTAGTAGGAAAGACCCACACCGATCAAGACCAATGTATCCCTCGGATTCGGAGAACTCGAGTCTCGGGAAGATTCGTTCGATTACGATCGACGACTTCCTTTCCCCCCAGAAAATAAGGCCTCCTAGAGATCGATGTGCAACTGCCTCGTCCCGAGAGGGGAGGGCGAATCGAATGCGTCGACCGTTGGAAGAAGCCCGACTATGCACTCGAATGCTTAGTGAGGCTCTGTCAGAGTTTTATTTTGGCATATCCCGGATAATGTTATTGGAGGTTGGAGAGGATACATTGATGATGGTGGTTACGATCGATTAGTACAGTCTCGAGGAGCACGAAATCCGGATCTCGCCTCAACATCGAGCAAATATGCTCCACGCAGCAATGGTGTAAGAAGCTACCTGTTTTTCGCAGAGGGAAATCACTCTTCCCGGGCACGGTCCCAATGCCGAGTCGACCATTCAGAGGCGGAGGCGAGGATTGATCCAAGGACATTTGCTGCCTCTGCGCCCAGGCCTGCCTGACACCGCCGTTTTGAGCGGCGTCACGCTGTTTTTTCAAAACGAATTCCTGAAGTTTCTGCTTGACTTCTTGCGAAATGCTCCCGCTGCTCGTTCTGAAGAGACAGACGTATCTTTAGGACACCCTCTCCCGGATCTCGGGCGCATTCGGACCTCTATTGAATTCGGCAGCTCGGTAAGGAAGATCGGGAAGGATCCCGAGAGTTGAGCTCATGTGGAAACATTCTCCTCAATAAGTCTCTCTCCACCCTTAATTACGAAAGTCCTGATCATTCATGCGAATCCCACAATGTCGCTTCTTCATCAGCTCTGTACTCTGCTGTGCGGTCGGATCGAATAGAGAAACCATCGAAAATTTCATTATTGAACCCGAGGTGGCTCTGAATAGATGACCTGTGAGGTGGTGACGCGCTCAAATTTGACCCGATTTAAAGAGAGTTCGGAAGAATTATGCCACCGGTGCTTCGGGCGAGATGGATCAGGTGGAATTTCGAAATACTCTAGTTCTCATCCTGTGCGACCCCCGAACTATCGGGGAGAATAGCCGGTCACGCGATTTGGAAACTGACGGGGATGTCACAGGATATTGTCATTCGAAGTTTCAGGTCTGAAAACTCGTTCCTGACGGAGCTCGTTTCGGAGCAGCCGAACGAAAGAGTTTGCACCCCGCGCTTCTTCCTCTCTCGACTCGGAATCATGAGTCGAATCGAGCGGCTCACCACCTCTGAATCCTACTTGCTCCTCTCGGCCAAGAGCCGAGTTTCTCTGTTTGCATTGGTACGGCAGCCGGGTTAGATTCAGCGTTGTCGACAACGACCGTCCGACTACCTATGTGTTACGGAGAGCAAAAGGTCATGGAGTGAGTCGTGTGGGGTTCGCATTTCGCGACTTAATTAAACAGCTATTTGTTCTGCAACAGACCTTTGCAGCGGCGGGGCATGATTCGTTTTCTGACTCGGAATCTGAGACGAATCCTTCTTCATCCCTGAAGCCATAGGAGTGTTTGAATCCTTCTTATCTTTTTCGGTTTGGCGTTCGAGTTCTGCTCGACATTTCTGTTGGGCCTCTTTCTGTTCCTGTTCGAGCTGCTGCTGACTCTCCATATAGACCTGCAAAAATCGACGATTATTCACCATGTCGGATTTCTGAATAATGCGCCTTCCCTCCACTTTTTTTTTCATTCACACGCTCGCACACACGGACCGTCAGGCGAACGTTGGACGTCATCCGGGCGGCGACGAAACTCCACTACACAAGCTCCACTACGGAATACGGATCCAGCTCATTGATCACCAATGAAATCGTGCCGGGGATCGGAAATTTCGTGTCCGAACTCGGGCAGAGAATTCGAGTAGCGGACATTCTCGATATCATGACAGTCAGAATGACTGGGAAATCTGTTGTCGAGCTCGAAAGCGTGAGATTCCAATGACGAATTCTATCGACAGCTCGACTGATTCAGTGTGATTTAAAGCTGTTGTCACGCGCGATTTTCGACACCAATATATAGATATCGCCGGGCACTTTGGATCGTCAAACGCACAGGGAAAATCCTGCCAACCGCAGGCCAGCGATAGAGCGTCTACTCTGCCGTGGTATCAGAAGATCTACGCTATCATTCCCGTCGTCAAGTCTCTTCTGGGTGGCTATTTCTATCCTCTGACGTCGACAGCGAGCTTTCCTCTTGAACGCTGACGACGACGTAGCCATCTCCTAACCTTTTTTTACGGCTCGCTGTAAGACGAGACCTCTTACCCACGCGAGAAAAATTCAACTTTGTCCCACGAATAGGCCTTACTTATCTGCGGAATTTCGAGGATCCGCATTAGCATTCGAACTTCCGGAACTAGAGCAGACCCGGAATTTTTCCAGCTGTGTCCAGAGCTGCCCGAATGGCGGCGTCACACGCGTCTCAATGATTCTATCGAATTTATACTGGTCGAAATGTGTTCGCTGCTCTCGGCTCGATCATTATCATGGTAATTTGGGGGATGCAAATCGTAGTCCTCTGTTTTCGCCGAAGACAATCGAGCCCGTGCCCCATGGGTTCTCTTTGCATCGACGTGATCTCAGAGATGACTCCTCAAATTATGGATGATTGTCATCGTCATCATCGTGCGTCTGGTCAGCAACTCATTTAGATTCCTTGCCCGGGACGGAGGATTGCTTGCTCACTCGAAGCTGGAAATCATCTCGAGATCTACGTCGGCAAGGGGGGGAGAATATCGCAACCCAAAGAGATCCGTGATAGGCTGAAGTCGACCACCTCGTGAGTCTCTCACCCGAAGAGCTCACTTCAGACTTGGAACAGGCTTCTTATCTCGTCTTGCGATCCGGGTGGACCGGTGAATTTCATGATGATTTGCTTTCATGTTGGAATCGATTCTCGATTCGGAAATGACCGGACAGTGATACATTTCTCCGCGCCGTCGGCAGAGATTACCCCTTGTAACAACAACGACATCCCGCGCAGCTGGTGAACCTCACGAAACCACGCTCTCAACATGATCGATCTCTGTGCCAATGATGATAATCATCATATAATAATCGCCAGCGCTTGTTGCCATCCTTCAGAGCTCCTCTCTACGAAGTGAGTTGCGCTGCGGGGGATCACGTAGAGTCGAGTTTGCTTCATTTTGATGAGCCCTAATCCACAAACTCCAAGGTGATGGATTGCTGGTCGGAGATTAGTATTCAGCTGTCTTCAGCAAGACCGAGCTTCGGTAATAATTCGCCAGTGTTACATTAATTGTCTCGTCAGAAGGTCAGGCTATATCGCCTTTATCATTGTCTTCAAGCTCCAAGGCATCCTGGAGTGGAGTGCAATCGAAGGCGAGCAGCTGGCGGATCTAAAAATAATCTCACTGTATCCGACTTGCTGAGCTATTGTCCGTTCGAATAGTCGAGGACTCGGCTGACTGACCAATCGGTCACTTAACCACTCGGTCACCTAACCACTCGTTCGGGCTCGTGGCTAATTTCCGTTCTGACGGATACCACGCAATCAAATATTCATGAAGGAAAATAAATTTGCTAGCGGAGATCTCGAAGCACGGCAACCAGAATAGCGCTTCTAATTTAAGCGCGTTCCGCATTACCATGGAGCTAGTGAGAATTCCCCGTTTTCTTCGCCGTCGGAGACTTTGATCCGAATCTTTGATCCGGGACTCCTCGGGGTCTCGTTGAGGGCAATCTCCCGAGTTTTCCTCTTACAAGCGCAAGCTCGCCGAAACCTCGTTGATACGCGATGCGAACGGAAGCGAGATAAGCTCAACAACAACGACACGAGTTCGAAGGAATCGTCAACAAAATACGCGGGAGTCCCTAGCATTCCAAGTCGTCATCCACGGGAAACCAGCGGAGGAATATACCCGGAAACTCTCTCGGCCTTATCTCGCGGGCGCATCTGCTCACGAATTCAGTGATAACTCTGATGGGGACCAGCAATGTTTTCCTAGTGAGACTTTGAGAGATGGTTCGTTGCATCTCTCCGCGCACACACACGCACGTCTACAAAAACGATTCTTTTCCGTCGGATATGCTCAACAAGCCAAGAGAGGCAGAAACAGAGAAAATGGTCCTCTCCAATCAAGTGAACTCGAGAAAAAAAATCAGCCTACATTCTGGGCTCTTGCTGGTGGTGCTATTTGCCGCAACCACTCATGCATAAGAACTGATATCTCTCGGGTGGGTAGGCGGGCGGGCCCTCAAGCTCGCTAGGCATAGGAATAGCTGGCATGGCTAAAGATATCACTTTCTAAATATATTTATGAGCGAGAAGCGAGAGAGGGATTGAGCAGCGAACACTGAGTGAGTGCGCGTGTGACTCCGAGCTTTCCAAACATCGTTACGCGTTGAAACACATAATCGGACGTGCTGGCATACCGATGGGGGATCAGAAAGGGACCAACCGACGCGGCCTCGATGACCTTCGCGGCTTCAGTCTGCTGTCAGTATGAGGGATTTAAACTCCTCTTTCATCGGATGCGCCTCATAGGGGGTTTCCCTGAAAATTCAACCTCCACTCCGCGGTCCCAACATCGATCGGACCCTCCCGGAAACAACCTCTCTGAGAGCGACGGCGAGAAACGTCCGCGACCGAGCGAAGGAATCGAGGAACAATCGTTCGATGAATCTCTTGATGAAGACTCGTACAGCGGGGTGACGCCGACGCTAGAGGATATACCACGGAGACCCGAGACCACGACGTTGCTTCCGCCTCGTTCTATACTTCGTCCGCCCCATGGTAAGAATGGAGACGCGACGATGTAATATTTTTTGGTCACGCTCGTGCTGCCTGGCCTTTAAAGCAAAGCGGGAAGGAGGTCACTCGACTGTGACCGCGGTTGCTCTTGCCTCCAATCATTCCTACACGGCGACATACGAGCTTTCCTTCTTACGTCGATGACGAGCTTGCAAACCGTCATGTCGGTCGTCTACTCAGCGCGACGGCTCGAACTCAACCACACGTTGTTGACGATGTCGTCTCGGAAGCTTCCATGAAAACTGAGGCTGAATAACGCTCGTCAACCACTCCATCGACCTTCTAAAAATTTTCGGCGCACCTTTGGACTTTGCAGTCTGCGAAGGCGTCAACCTCATCCTTAAATCCCCAACGACCTCCCTGGAACTTTTAGTTCTCACGGGGGACTTGAAAATATGATGCTGCTCCTCTCGTCATTTCCCTGTCGGAATAGTACGCCATACTGAGCGATCGGAAACAAGGATGCGTCTTGTCGCACCGCTTCCATGCCTTATCTACTTGAAAACCAAGAATCAACGTGACTCCTCGGTCTACAAGCAACAGAAACCATCCAGGACGACAATCTTGTATAGGATCGACTCATCTGGAGACGCGGCGTGTCGTCGTATGTGCGGGGATCTCTTCCTCCAACCGAATGAGATATCGCTGCGCTGAGGCGACGGCGGCGCCGGGAAAGCCGTGGAAGCCGTTGACAGCGACCTTTGCTTCGTGACGTGGAATGGAGTTCCCTCTCGAAATAGCCACTTAATCTGCTCGCCGAGATAGATAGGTGGACTAGGGGTTCCACTTTTTCGATCCTGCGGGCGTCGCGCCAACATCGAATAGAAATGCCTGCAGCGGGTTTCTCTGATATGAGATCCACAACACGGAAAAGACCCCATGGAGACGGTTCACAGTTCCGCTGCGTTTGGAACAAAACAGTTGCGTTGAGTGAGATTTTGACGGCTCTTACGCCTTCACGGTCGGGGAAGCCCGCGTGGCGATGGCACGCAGCGATCGAGATATTCGCGACTCGTGGATGATATAAAGGGTCGCTTCGGACGCTCGCCCGCTTGCGTGCCTGCCTGCGCCCCAATCGTGATCTCGATCAGCTCACCGTATTCAGCTGTTTTGTCCGAAGGCCCCGTGAAGACATCACCGCCGCCAAAATTAGCCTCCCGGGAAAATTCAGAAGTGTTGCATCTCCCGAGGCATTTACACAACGGGCCCTCCGAAGAACAGCCTCGATTCCTCATGATCCGTTTCGCGTATTCAGATCAGGCCACTAACGGCAGAACGCGGAAGTCCTCTCGAATCGACATGAGGGAATTCGTCTCGATTCGAATTGAAACGTCGCGCTCTCGCTTCATGCCCGGAGATCGAGTTATCGTCTGTCGACAGTTGATCGAGCAAGGGAAAGAGCGACCAGAATGACAGCCAGGCGGTAGAACAGAGAAAGCTTGTTCCGTTGTTGTAAATTCCGCACAAAGACGATGATGATGAACTCAAAAACGACGTTCCCACCCGCTCGGATAGTGCTTTCCAACGCTGGAGCAATCGTCGTCGACAACCTGCACCTCGCTATCTGATGACGGGTGATACGCTTTCAGAAGGTTCTTCTTTCACTTGCGACTGGCTCGCTTCGTCCCGTCCGTAGCGGTGGTAGCTTTTACGGCCGAAATCTCTGGCCAAAGTGAGTCGATTTCTCGAGCTGCTCCCCGCTTTCCTTTTTCTTGAGGACAAATCGCTGACAGCAGGCCTTCCGCGCTCAGCGGCTAGCTATTCGACTAGGAGAACGACGACCCAGAACGAAAGAGCACCAGAGCCACAATCGTCGAATTGCACATCTGACAAAAGAAGCCTCGCTTGCCATGCTGGGGAATCACACTCAGTCAGTCTGCTCTGTCGGCCAGGGTTGTTCTGACTGATAGAGCTTGTTAGAGTCATGTTCTATACCGAGCTCTAGTCTCTCCCGCGTGAGCGTCCGCTACGACAGAAGCCGTGTTCGATTGCTTGCGACGGGAGACGTATCCACGGAAAATCGGTCTGGCGTCCCCTTGAAGTGTCCCATGCCCGTAGCTTGCCACCGCCGAACAATCAGCGAATCACACGCCACCCTCTCTCTCATTCTAGCCGCCCACGCGCCGACCTTCTAACAGCAAGGTCTGGGAAGATCAGCTGAGCTCTATCTGTTGTTCGGGGTACTTCCCTCAGCCCCCCGCTACCCATCAATCAACGCATACTAAGTAAGCAAGATCCTGTATCTATCTCAAGCACGACTCGGATGAAACTTTGCAATTATTTATCCTCTTGTCGAAGTCCAATTTGAGTATTCCCTTGTTTCCTAACTCCGCACTACCGCTCTCGAACCGTTTTCCTCACGTTGCCTGCTTTTCTGACAGTGGAGTCCATAGGCTTCTTCTTGGGGGGGGGAGATCGGGTCCTCGCATAGGGCTGACCTCCAACATGGCGACCCGCTCCTATACCTTAGTTTTGCGAACTCTCAATCTGGGAGGGGGCTATCTTGTCTTCGGCAAGACGACAGAAATAACTTCTGGGACATGATGGAGGGCAGAAACACTTACTCTGACCCGTTCCCGCAATTGACGCTCATGAGCTTCGGCCAGCTGTCTCTGTCTCTGCTGGTAGCTTTGTAGGAGCATCTGCTGCTCCATCTGCTGTTCTTGCCTCATGGCCATTAACTGTTGCTGGAATTCCAAGAGAGGCATCTGCTGAGGGTCCAGAGCGACCACGGCTTCGTTTTCCTGAAAAAGCCCACGTTTTCGTTAAGCTCTCACAGGTCTACAGCGACCACGCAGATCACAATAGCTCCGGAAATAACTACGAGAAGAACACCGAGAGTCTCTGAAATAGTAACACAACCGACCGACAGGGAGCACAGGACGGAAAAATATCCCCATGTTTTCCATTATCGCTCGTTCGGAGATAATAAGCTTTCATTCGCAGGCATTCCATAGCGAAGATAATTCCCAAATGAGTCCAATCGGCACGGCCGTGAGTACGCCCTCCCACGACAGGAGACACCGATGGAATGATTTATTTCTCTCTCCAAATTCTCCGGAGGTCCGTTTTCTAGCTCGTGGCTAATTTCCGATGAGCTTCGTGGCTCGCTCCCGTAAAAATTCATCGCTGTCCGAAGACCGTCAGCCGATGAATGCATATCAGGACGCGGCCTCCGTACATGCACAGTCAACGACTCCGTTGCCACGCGAAATCAGACATCTCGGACAGGACACGTATCGACGTGGCAGAACACTCGCCACAATTACTTGCTATTAGATCCATGATTTATGCTCGCTCGATATAGGACAAACGGAATGCATTTTGCTACAATGTGAGCCTAAGCCCTCGTTGGATGTTCTGGATCGGCATTCTGCGGCTTCCGCTGGCTGATTCCTCACTCGGGATTTCGCTTCCCTTCCGACATCTTACATGAATCAGGGGCATAACCGGCGGCAAAGTCGGCGGCGAATTCGAATTCGATGACGAGGCATGATGGTCCATGGGAAGACTTCGCGTCGCAGAATTGCTGCTGCCCAGCGGTCCACCCGACATTCCTCGGAATCCGCTCATGGTTACGACACTTCCGTTATTCCAAGCGGCTGATCGTTTGAGAATGTCCACTCCACCTCCAATACGGGTCGGCACTCCCACGGCGCCGTTTGGTTTACCTGAAAAAAAACGAGCATGAGATTCTATGCGATTCCGGGCGATGAATCCTCTGCGCTCGACACGGCCAGTTCCTATGCATGATTAGAGCGGAGCAAGGCTCGGGTTCAAGGCCACCTTTATTTCGATGGACCATTGGATCCGCACAGGACGCTGACAGTTTTCGATCGGTTTTCCTCTCGGAGCGTGTCCCAGCTAGAGTACTCTCTCGCCATCCGGATTGATTGAGGCTCGCAAAGGGCCGAGAAAAAGTTGATTCGCTCGTGCGATACTTGGGATCTGCGAGATTTTCGTGGGTCCCATCGCTCGGGCATGGACCGCCGGAATACCCTTGACATTGGCGAAGCTCATGGCGGAGTAAGTCCCATTAGCGGCGGTGTCGTTCGAAATTCCGTCACCATAACTCGGTCAAACAAAGCGACCCAACATCAATAAGGATTGGCTCCGCCGTGTTTGCGACCGCTCTACTTCCAGCAACATCGAAACCTTGTCGAGATGGCACGTGTGCCTCCTCGATCGTTGCGCGGAGTCATCGGCCACACTTGCCGTGACTCGATCCTTGAATCCATCGAATACATTTCGGAAAAGCCTCCGCGGACGCGAGAGAGCTCAGTCGATCGTCCTATCATCAATGCGGTCGAGTCATACAGAGCGTTATTCATTCGTTTCAAGAGAGCCACTTCGATGGGGATCTTGGCTTTTTCCGACTCGATGACCCTCCGCTACTTGGATTAGACAACGGTACGATGTCAAGGCGTCGTCTCACGGAAATGATTGAATTCGGACCTCGATGAGGATGGAATCGACAGCCAGCCTGTCGGTCTCGGCCATGGAAGAGCTTTTGATTATGCTTGTTTCCAGGCAGCGACACCGTGGTCAGACATTGCCTCTGTCGGAGCGGCTTGAAAGCGCCAATTAGTGCCATCGAGCAGGGGAAGGCGCGTTTAACGGAAATCGGCCGGAATGAGCTCTCTCACCGCCCGAGCACCACAACAAAATTATGGAAAGCGCACCGCGACCCTGGTAGAGCAATTGGAGAACTCGAATGATCTGGATCTTCATGACTCGTTGCCGTCCAGAGGGTTGATCGTCAGGAGATTTCCCGCCCTTCGTTGATGCTGGCTGCCCGGTGATTTCGGGCTTCCCTACGCTTGCAATTATCCTTATCGACCATTGTCTGGAGGAACTGCTCCAAGACTCACGGGAAGAATTTCAAACCCATAAAAGACATGTGATCCGCTTGTGTGCTCCCACCGCAACGTTATCCTAGGTGAGAATGCCATGCTTAGGTAGATCCGCTGTCTAGACCGTATGCGGGAGCAAGCAGCAAAGGGCACAAGAGTTTCTAAACATAGAAGCGGCCGGAAAAAACACATTTCCCGCTCCGGAGCAACGTCAGACGCAACAAACTAGCACCCCTTCCATTTGGGTATGTTGAGAACGAGCCCGGGCATCAGAAATTTTGCGGTCCGTCGGGCCAGTCAGGCCAACTCTTCGCATCCTCGTGAATCTCGAAAACCTCGGGCGTGGCAGGAGTACGGCCGCGATAGGGATGATACGTCGATGCGTACCGCGTTGCCCTGCGACAAATGCGGTCTATTGAAAGCGTCCGCCTCGACCACAGCGGATACAGATCGACACTAAACTCTTCTTAATGGCGTGTAATCACGTGGCATCTGGGTTGGCGGAGGACGGAACTTTCGAAGGCGTTTGTCGACGAGAGTGCCTCAGCGCTCTATTGTTGAATGGTGTCTTATGTTTCTATTTCCAGTCTCCTAGCGGCTCGCCTGGAGACCGGAGTAAAGCAAACTCACAACGAGTAACCTCATCGCAGCGGTCTTTCTAGGTCCCGATTTCTGTGCTCGAATCTAGCGAGCCAGGTACCAATGAGCGCCACCAGACGGAGAGCGACGTCCTTTCAAGCTAGTCGAGTGCAACGCGGGAGCCGAATCGGCGGCCTGACGGGTGGCTAGGGAAATGTATTTGGGATGCAAGACGCTTTCATATCTAAATCGAGTTCGTAACCCTTCGGGGAGGGAACTTGAGGCCGTATGCCGGCGCACGAGGCACGTAATGGCTCCCCGGGAAACCTCCGCTGGTGCTGTAACCGGAACCGAGTTGGGGTGCGGCGCGGCGCGGATCTAAATTTAGTGGGAACTAGTTCATAATATAGATTCGTCGAAGCTTATTTGAGCGGCTTTCTCTCGTGGGACGAAAATAGGAAGTCGCTACAGGGGCAGTCGAGTATTCCTGGCGCGTCGGGTCTGTCTCCAAAGGGTGGCTCTGGTTATTTTGGGCCTGTTCGACATCTAAGAATATCTAAACTCTATTACACTCTCTCATTTGCCTGCTCTGGCCGGCCGGCTGACTGACGGACGGACCCGCTGACTGACTGGCTGACTGAGCGGATGGATGGTCCGCCGTTTATGGGCTGTTTCGCCCAGAGCTGAGTGAGATTTCCACTTGCAGAATCTGACGGGAGATTTCGTCGATACGCTCATTTCCTTCTTCAGAGAGCCTGACAGATAAAATTTCGTCGTATTCCAACGAAAACTTCCTAGAAGAGGAGAAATACGGGAACGAACGACCTCAATCGGGCTGGGCAGTCAGGTCTCCTCGAAGACGAGTGGATCGCCGATCTCGCGGTATCATCACCTTTACACAACGATGATAATAATTGGTTAACATCTGTGGGCGAGCCAGCATCATCGTGACGGTATCTCACCGTTGGTCATCGCCGCATCGGAGCCGACGACAAGGTAAGGGTGAAGAGGCTTGAATGAGCAACGGAGAACTACGCGCCAGCAGCCATTGCAGCAGGGGATTCTCAGAGAACAGATCGAGGTCTCAAGGGTCCGACTCTTGCTTCCTTTCCAACCACCTGTGACTCACTCGGCGGCATCAACAAGCCATGAAGCCAATGTACACAGAGAGACTGGACGTACGTGATGACACCGCTCGTGATACAAACTCACTCACGTTTGGCATACTACCCATTGGGTTTATTCTTGAGAGCCGCGAGATTTTCTCAATTAAGTCTGTTCGGCTGACGACGAGCGCTCGCGCTCTCGTCGGTTTCCCCGCTGCCACCGTGGCTGGACCAATGCTCTGGGCACGAGGCCAACCGATGCTCGCATTCAAGCGACGATGGCAACAGAACGCCTCAACATAAATAAGACGAAACGTGAGGCCTGAAAGCTGAATATCCCTCAAAACGGAATCGAAGCTCTCTCATGATCAATGAACGTCCCCGTGAATGGACGTGTGCGAGTTGCCGAGCGGCCGCTGCCACGATTTACCGATGAGCTAATAAATCCATCAGTCCAGAACACGATTGAGCACTTGTCGAGCGAACAAACTTGTCGATCGGCCCTTCCTCGAACTAAGCTCGACTCTCTTCCCCTCGCTCTTCGACATCTCGAGATCCCGAAGCCGGAATCACGACTTGCGACTCGGATCGAGAAGCAGTAGTCAGATACGGAAGGGAGGTATACAGAAATATGACACGAGAAAGTCGAAGATTCTCGTACAAAGTCAATGTATAATCTTCTCTTCGAAAAGCAGGACTGGCAGCAGCCATAAACGTCACAGTCTTACGCGGGGTCGATTCGTGGCTGGTAATCGGATTGCTCGTCGACGTCGGCGACGTCGATTCGGTACTTTTGTCGGAGAAATACGGAGTGGTTACGCTGCATCTGCTCTAGGATGTATTGGTTCGTTGTTTTGTTGGCGGCAGCCTCAGCGGTTTGTTTACGGCTCTCCGTCATCCTTCAGCCTTGAGTGGCTATTTTGGTCTAGAGCGAGCAGACCAATTGGGTGGACTGCTGGTCGCAGCCAGGCAGCAGAACGCACGCCCGCCCGCCTGCCCGACCGACCAGCCGGTTGGTCTGCCTGCCAACGATCTCGCCATTCTGCCAGTCAGTCAACTTGAGACTAGTAGGCCAGCTAGTCAGCTCGGAACTCCCGCGTGGCTTCACTTGCTAACAACCGGCACTCAGGAGCCGGGCAAAATCTCGACTGAGGACAAAGCCGTCAAAGTTTTGCTGATTTCGAAGGAGAAGGTACTAGTCGACCGCCCGACGTGAGCCAGCCGGAGTTGCCAGAATGAATTCCGGGAACGTTGCCTATGCCTTTCTGCTCCAAGCCGTCACCGAGATTTCGGGTTTTCTGCCAAATAAGATGCCCGTATCGGAGCTGAGGGTAGGACACTCGAGGAATTAGTGACTTCCGCGATCTCGCCCTGAGGAATGCTTGCTCCGAAATCCATGGATCGACACACAACAGGTCGCGAGGGAACGAGTTCCTGACCTTATCTGGCGAATCAGGATGATCCGCAAATAAATTCAAGGACGCGATTGAGCTCCTCGCTCATGAATTCATGAATACGTACGTACATTCGCCGTAAACTCGACAAACGGAATCCCATCGCGAGCGGGAATCACGGCTCAATTTCAACGAGATCGATCAGGTGATCGACTCGAGGGCGCTAAGAAACATTCCAGCTGAGAATCGCTCGAGCCCATTTCTATTGACAAATCGAGAGGAATTCTCGTGAAGGCGTTTTCAAAATACAAAGTTTCATCTTCCATAACGAATTCCGTCATCACCCACGGAGCGGCGCTGGGCGGAACGATGCCCTTGCTGCAATGTTCTGCAGGAATCTCTCCCGTTACCCAGACCGGGGTGCTGGGTTTCAAGAAAGATCAGATCTAGGCGAGCTCTCGAGCGAAACTTACTCAGGTAGGAGATAGACAATCACCGATCTAGAGCACTTACCGATCATCATTTCGGAGCTGACAGGTCGTCATGCTATCATCATGCGGAGATCACGCGAATCTCATCTGAAATGATCAGAGAATGAAATATTCAATTTTCAAGAAGCGCACCGATGAATTCTCTGATGTTGTCACACGCTAATTAATTCCAGGAGCTCTTGTCGCTTGAATCGATCGGTCTCGATGTGTCTGTTGCAGTAATAGCGAGAATTCTTGTCGGAGAATCGCAACGAAACTCAAGTCTGTTCTATCCACTCGATCCGCATGAGGGACGGAATCTTCCGCGCCCGGGATCCGTCTAGTCCGCCCAAGTCCCTGACTCCGGGAGCAGAGCTCCGACGCTAGATCTCTGACTTTCGATTCGTAAGACGCAGCCGGCGCGCATTCTCAAGACGATAATGCCGAGCTGCGTGCTATGAGCCTATGTGAGTATCGCGGCCCCTCGAATTTCGCGCCGGAAAACCTGCTCCTGGGAAAACGTGTCATTGCCGAAATGTTCGACCTTCTGCGAGAACGGAACCAGAGCCGAGTGACTGGATTCCGCGAAAACCTCTCGCAAACCTTGTTGATGCCGCT